AATCTCTCCAAGGCTCAAGGTTGACTCAGCCTTCCATCCTTTCTAAGGTAGGTAAATTGAGGACCCAGTTTGTGGGGGCAATAAGCTGACTTTGTATAAATATACAAAAGGATGAAGGCTATTGCTTAGCACATTGTAAGCCGCCCTGAGTCTCCGGAGAAGGGGGGCATATAAATCAAATTTAAAAAAAAAAAGTCACCACCCTTCTAGAGAATGAAATATTATTAAAAATGCAGGATAGAATATCTCCCCTAAGGGGAAAAAAATCTTAAGGGAGGCAGAAACCAGTCCCCGTCTCCCTGTTCCCTAGCAGAAACTGAGGAGGCCAGCTATTAAATAATGCAGATTTTGTAAACCATCCAGAAAGACTGGGTCAGACAGAGACTCCAGATAAGCAATTAGGCAAGACAAGATTAGCTCAGGCAAACACCTAGGATTTGCATTTCCCCTTTTGCCAATAGAGCCAGCCACGAACCCACTGAAATCAAAAAGGTATAAAACCCCACCCTCCGCTCAGCTGTCAGCTGTCCCAGAACTGTACACTGTGGTTCTCTCCATCAATAAACTTTCTTTCCAATCAGCCTCCATTTTATTCCCTGCTTAGAACTGGACCTGGATTTTTCTTCCAACATCCTCTTCCTCTTCCCAACCCTCTCTTCTTCCTCCCCCTCTTCCACCTCCCTCCTTTTTCTCCTCTTTCTCCTCCTCCCCCTCCCTCTTTCTCCTTCACCTCTTTTTCCTTAACCTTCTCCACCCTCCTCTTCCTCCCCCTCCCTCCTTCTCCTCCTCTTCCTTCCTTTTCCTTCTCCTCCACCCTCCTCTTCCTCCTCCTCCCTTTCTCCTCCTCTTCCTTCCTTTTCCTTCTCCTCCACCCTCCTCTTCCTCCTCCTCCCTTTCTCCTCCTCTTCCTTCCTTTTCCTTCTCCTCCACCCTCCTCTTCCTCCTCCTCCCTTTCTCCTCCTCTTCCTTCCTTTTCCTTCTCCTCCACCCTCCTCTTCCTCCTCCTCCCTCTTCCTCCTCCTCTTCCTTCCTTTTCCTTCTCCTCCCCCTCTTCCTCCTCCCTCCTTTCTCCTCCTCCTCCCTCTTTCTCCACCTCCTCTTCCTCCTCCTCCCTTTCTCCTTCACCTCCTCCTCCTTCCTTTTCCTTCTCCTTCTCCTCCACCCTCTTCCTTCTCCCTTTCTCCTGTTTTTCATCCTCTTTTTCCTCCTCCCTTCCTCCTCCTCCCACTCTCTTCCTCCTTCCTCTTCCCAACCCCCTCTTCTTCTTCCTCTTCTTCCTCCCCCTCTTCTTCCTCCCTTTCTCCTCCCCCTCCATCTTTCTCCTTCACCTCCTCCTTTTCCTTCTCCTCCTTCCCCTCTTCCTCCTCTTCCTCCCCCCCTCTTCCTCCTCCCTCTTTCTCCTTCACCTTCTCTTCTTCCCTTTTCCTTCTCCTCCTCCCTCCTCCTTTCTCTTCCTCCTCCTCCTCCATCTTTCTCCTTCACCTCCTCCTTTTCCTTCTCCTCCTTCCCCTCTTCCTCCTCTTCCTCCCCCTCTTCCTCCTCCCTCTTTCTCCTTCACCTTCTCTTCTTCCCTTTTCCTTCTCCTCCTCCCTCCTCCTTTCTCTTCCTCCTCCTCCTCCCTCTTTCTCCTTCTTCTCTTTCTCCTTTTTCCTTTTCCTCCTCCTCCTCCTCCTGTTTTTCATCCTCCTCCTCTTCCCTGTTCCTTCTGCTCCTCCCCCCTCTCTTCCTCTTCCTCCTCTTCCTCCTGACAATTCATTCTGCAAAGGGACCGAGCTAAGCCTTCCTCCTCCTCCTCCCCCTCGCTGCTGCTGCCAAAATTAATTCTGCAAAGCACAGAAGCTGAGCCCCCACCCTCCCCAGCCCTCCTTAAACAACCCTGGCAACTCCCACCAGCTACGGAAACTGTTGACCTGACTGACCCCAGGAAAGAGCAGCTCCCGGAGCTGAAGTCAGGGCTGGCACCGGGCCCAGCCGCGTTCCCCTTCAGCCACCGTTCGGCCCTCCCTCCTCTCCCCCCCCACCATGGTTGCCGGTCTTGCGCTGCCTTTGGAAGGAAGCGCCTGGAGACACGGAGGGTTTGTGTGGCATTCGGTTTTATTTACAACTGTGCAAGCCGGAAAGGAGGCGACTCTGGCAAACTAGGCAGCCCAGGAATTGCGGGTGATTTTCCCACCAAGAGTTTGGCCCTCCTCGAGAAGCCCTCGCTGTAGTTCCAGTCCGCGGGGAAACTATTTTCCCATTAGCACTTTTCACCATCATCCCTTGCTCCTTCATCGTCATCATCATCGCCTTCTCCTTCATCCTCATCCCCTTCGTCTTCATCATCATCATCATGCCATTAACTGAAGGCTTCTGGAGCGACAGCAACGGTTGCCTGATGCTCTAAAAAGCAGTGATTTTCAAACTTGGCCACGTTAAGATGGGTGGACTTCAACTCCCAGAATTCCCCAGCCAGCATGCTTTAAGATGAGTGGACTTCAATTTCCATGGCTGGCTTGGGAATTCTGGGAGTTGAAGTCCACCCATCTTAAAGCATGATGACTGAGGAATTCTGGGAGATGAAGTCCACCCATCTTAAAGCCTGCTGGCTGGGGAATTCTGGGAGTGGAAGTCCACCCATCTTAAAGCCTGCTGGCTGGGGAATTCTGGGAGATGAAGTCCACCCATCTTAAAGCCTGCTGGCTGGGGAATTCTGGGAGATGAAGTCCACCCATCTTAAAGCATGCCAAGTGGGGAATTCTGGGAGTGGAAGTCCACCCATCTTAAAGGATGCCAGCTGGGGAATTCTGGGAGTTGAAGTCCACCCATCTTAAAGGATGCTGGCTGGGGAATTCTGGGAGTTGAAGTCCACTCATCTTAAATGATGCCAGCTGGGGAATTCTGGGAGATGAAGTCCACCCATCTTAAAGCATGATGACTGAGGAATTCTGGGAGATGAAGTCCACCCATCTTAAAGCATGCCAAGTGGGGAATTCTGGGAGTTGAAGCCTACCCCATCTTAAAGCCTGCTGGCTGGGGAATTCTGGGACTTGGAGTCCACCCGTCTTAAAGTTGCCCTAAATTAAAAAATGTTGGATTAGGAAACAGTTACCTTCCACTCTGCTTAGCAATCATGGCCGACTGGGGGATTCTGGGAACTGAAGTCCACCCATCTTCAAGTGGCCAAGTTGAAAATCAGATTTGCTGTAATGAAGAGCGCAAAAAAAGCTCGGGACCATTTCTGAACCTCCTAAATCCCTTCTGTTCAATTCGAGAGCAGACCCACTCCCCAAAAGTGCTCTTTCTAAACCCTCAACCCTCCAAGGTGATATCTCCAATTTCCATGGGCGACTACAGATAATCCTCGACTTAACGGTTCATTTAGTGACCGTTTCAAAGTTACAACGGCACTTGCGACCAATTTTCACACTTGCAGCATCCCTTCAGACACTTGGCAACGGTCTCATACTTATGACGGTCACAGTGTCCTGGGGTCACATGATCCCCTTTTGCGATCTTCCCGACAAGCAAAATCTATGGGGAAGCCAGATTCACTTAACAACCAGGTTAGGTAACAACTGCAGCATTTCGCTCAACCACTGTGGCAGGAAAGGTCGTAAAATGGGGCAAAACCAGTGGTGGAGTGATTCGAATAATTTAACAACCGGTTCTCTGCCCTAATGATCACCTGGGTAGGCATGGCTCGGTGGTCATGTGACTGTGTGGGCGTGGCCAACTCAACATCACTCACATTGATGGGTACTTCACCTTAGCTGTTACAATGTAACAAGGATTAACCGGAGAGGCAGTTTCTGTAAGCAGGGCAATAAAGTTTAGGCTAGAAATAACACCAGAATGTTTCCTTCCTGCCTTCCTTACAGGATTAGCCCTGTAAAATGGAAAAAAAAACCAAAATAAAGATTTCTTCCAACAACCGGTTCTTCGAACTGCTTAGAAAGTTAACAACCGGTTCTCCCGAATAGCTGCAAACTGGCTGAATCCCACCACTGGGCAAAACTCACTTAACAACCATCCTGCTTAGCAATGGCAACAGGTCATTGTGGTCGTAAGTCGAGGACCACCTGTACTTCAGTTTTAACACCGGAAATACCGTTTGCAAAAAGGGACATTCAGGTAATTACAATGCGAGACGAAGCCGCATTTCAGAAAACTTTCCCGTTGAATTGCACTTTTTTTTTCTTTCCTTCTGCTTATCTGTGCTGGCCAGGGCTCAGGGATTGGCATCTGCCAAGCAGCCAACTGCATTCCTGACCCAGCCTGGCACGAAGCCACTGGCCTGAATCTCGAAGATAGCAGGGAGCCTTGCAGAATCAGGAGGGCAAAAAATCACAACCCTCGGGGAGCCAAGCGAATCGGGTCGGCGTAAATCCCACGTTGTGGTCTCATTCTCATTCTCGCGCTCATCCACCAAACTTACGCTAGAAAGCCTGAATTTCTTGCACCTTTCTCAGATATGCCAAGGGGGTCGAGCCTTCCCGAACTAATCCTGAGTAGGGTGGAAATGGAGATTTTGCAGTATCCTTCCCCAGGAGTGGGGAGGGAATGGAGATTTTGCAGTATCCTTCCCCTGGAGTGGGGAGGGAATGGGGATTTTGCAGTATCCTTCCCCTGGAGTGGGGTGGGAATGGAGATTTTGCAGTTTCCTTCCCCTGGAGTGGGGAGGGAATGGGGATTTTGCAGTATCCTTCCCCAGGAGTGGGGAGGGAATGGGGATTTTGAAGTATCCTTCCCCTGGAGTGGGGTGGGAATGGGGATTTTGCAGTATCCTTCCCCAGGAGTGGGGAGGGAATGGGGATTTTGAAGTATCCTTCCCCCAGGAGTGAGGAGGGAATGGGAGTTTTGCAGTATCTTTCCCCTGGAGTAGGGGGGAATGGGGATTTTGCAGTATCCTTCCGCTGGAGTGGGGAGGGAATGGGCATTTTGCAGTATCCTTCTCCTGAAGTGGGATGGCAATGGAGATTTTGCAGTATCCTTCCCCTGCCACGCCCACCAAGCCACACGACGCCCACAGAACCGGTAGTAAAAAAATTTGGATTTCACCACTGCTTTAGCCTCCAGTCCCCCAAATTAACTGGTCTGTCAGGAAGTTTCTCCTTAGTTCTTGATTGCTCCTCTCCTTGATTTCTTTCCATCCATTATTTCTTGTCCTGCCTTCAGGTGCTTTGGAGAATAGCTTGATTCCCTCTTCTTTGGGGCAGCCCCTCAAATATTGGAAGACTGCTATCATGTCACCCCAAAATCCTTATTTCAGTAGACAAGAGATACCCAGTTCCTGCAACCGTTCTTCGTATGTTTTAGCCTCCAGTCCCCTCATCCTCTTCGTTGCTCTTCTCTGCACTCTTTCTAGAGTCTCAGCATCTTATTTACATCGTGGCGACCAAAACTGGATGCAGGATTCCAGGTGTGGCCTTACCAAGGCCTTATAAAGTGGCGTTAACACTTCACGTGATCTTGATTCCATCCCTCCGTTGATGCAGCCAAGAACTGTGTTGGTCTTTTTGGCGGCCGCAAGCACACGGCTGGCTCAATATTTAAGCGATCGTCCATTTGGACTCTTTCGCAATTACGGGCATTTTGCAAAGCCACGCTAGGCACCAAAAGGAAGACCGAGGCCAGACCCTCCGTGGTGCAACAGGGGCGAGCGAACGAGGAACACCACCACCACCCCGTCCCCGATTGTCTCTCACAACACAGAAAGGTCGTGGCAGGACTTGGAACGGACTTTCAGAGCAACTTTCTGGTTGTTACGCGCCACCAGCCGGTCCAGGAAACGCCGCACCTTCTTGGTCAGGCTCTCCTTGCGTTTGTAGAGCGACATGCGCCGTTCGTTGGCCTCCTTGCTGTCCTGGCGAAGCCGGATTTGCCGCACGACCCCTTCAAAAAGTTCGGTCACGTTGTGCTGGAGGGCAGCGGACGTCTCGATGAACTTGCAGTCAAAAACGACGGCGCAGGCCCGTCCTTCTGCAAAGGAAAAATGGCCAGGTTGTGAGAAGCTGCAAGAGATTGATGGATGTCTCTGGCATCTTTTAAAGTATGTGTGTGTGGGGGGGGGGGTCTCTAAACCAGTGTTTCTCAACCTTGGAAGCTTGAAGATGGGTGGACTTCAACTCCCAGAATCCCCCAGCCAGCAGCGCTGGCTGGGGGATTCTGGGAGTTGAAGTCCACCCATCTTCAAGCTTCCAAGGTTGAGAAACACTGCTCTAAACCTCGGCCCCTTTAAGACTTGTGGACTTCAACTCCCAGAGTCCTTCAGCCAGGTCTCCAAAAATGGCAACTTTTAAGCTCCACTGAATAGAATTGGCTGGGGAATTCTGGGAGCTGAAGTCCACAAGTCTTAAAGGGGCCAAGCTCGGAGACCTGTTTTAAAAGCACAATTTAATAGCCAAGAAAATGTAGAAGAATCAGTTCAGGCATTACTGCTGTACACAGGAAGTCCTTGACTTACGACCTCAATCGGGACCAGAATTGCCCTGGCTAAGCAAGACGGTTGTTAAGTGAGTCGCACCCAATTTTACCACGTTTTTTTTTAACAACTGCAGTTGTTAAGTGAAGCGTGCTGCTGTTAAGTGAATCCAACTTCCCCCGGTGACGTTGCTTGTCGGAAGCCGTCTGGGAAGGTCCCAAATGACCATCACCTAAGATTACAATCGTCAAAAATACATGCGAAGGGCTTGAATTTTGATCGCTCGTCTCTGGGGGTTCTGCAACAGCCCGAGGAACGAATATATGTCCCTTTTTTCAGTGCTGTTGGTAATTTTGAACCGTCGTTAAAAGAATGACCGTAAATCGAGGATTCTCTGTAGCTAACAGGACGGTTTCCTCCCATAACCTCCACTGAAAGCAACACCCCACAAAATTGGGGGGTGTTGCTTCAGTCCTAGGTAGAGTGCCTCAGTCCTAGGTAGAAGGTGGTGTGGATAAGATAAGATAACTTTTATTGTCATTTTTTTTTTTTTGCTGTGAGCACACTGGCCCACATTAAAAATGGAATTCTGTTGCCTGCTCTTCAAGAGAAAGTATATATTCACCCAAACACATACATAACACACATATGCACATGCTATATACATACATAAATATATACCTGCACCCATACTTATAAATATTAATCACTATCCCTCTTGAATACATAGCGGGGAAAGAGGAAACTTAAGAGTTCACAAGGTTAATGCTACATGGAATAAAACTGGTTGAATCTGGATGTTCTGCTTCGGGTACCACGAAGCCCCCTTGTCAGGGTAGTGATTTAAGAGCTGACCAGCTGCTGCAATGATGTAATGATGGGAATGAGTCAGCAAGGCTTTTTGGCTGTTATCCCTTTAAGAGTCTGTATAATAAGAAGAGGCCCTGTTAGGCGCTCTTTCTCTCTCTCCCTCCCTCCCTCTCCCTGTGTTTTTCCCTGCTGTAATTGCTGATTGTTTGACCTCTGCCTATAGTACATGAATGTATAAGATATATTCTTTTGTAGATAAAACCACTATTTTATGACAAACCTCTATTTGCTGTTATTGTTCCTGGGTTGTCTCACACAGTAAAGCTATGCACACTCTGACACCCCTCCCAAAAGGTAACAAGCAAAACAGATCATGAAGAGGATGTATAACATCCCAAACAATCCTGTGGACCCTGCTCAAGCACCGCTCATATGTCATGTCCTGGATAATAGGGAGTGAACTCCCAATTATCTTTTCTGCTGTCCTCACCACTCTCTGCACCACCTTCCTGTCTGAAGTAGTTAAGGCCAAGGAGTCCCTTGGGAGTTGGGCGGCATAGAAATGCAACAAAATATGTAAGTAAGTAAGTAAGTAAGTAAGTAAGTAAGTAAGTAAGTAAGTAAGGAAGGAAGGAAGGAAGGAAGGAAGGAAGGAAGGAAAGAAGGCAGGGGTTCCCAACCTTTCCTGCACCCCTAGAACGCTTCTGATATATTCTCGCACCCCTTAAAAAATAATTATACACATATAATTATACATATACACTATAATTTTGAAACTTCTAAACCCAAGTTTTCGCACCCCCCCTGGAATATCGTCTCGCACCCCCGGATGGAAACCCCTAATGCTTCCAAACCAGACAGTAATGCCACAGAATAGGATGCTCTCCATCGTTTCTGTACAGAAAGTGGTGAGGACAGAGGGAGGGAGGAAGATGTACTAAAAGGTAGTTTTTATGCAATACATTCAATCAGGCCAAAAAAGGAGGGGAAGCAGAGAGAGGGAGGGAGGGGGAGAGAGAGAGAGAGATGGATAAATATAGATAGATAAAGAGAGAGAGAGAGAGAGATGGATAGATAGATAGATAGATAGATAGATAGATAGATAGAGAGATAGAGAAAGATGGATAGAGATGATAGATAGATAAATAGATAGATGGATGGATGGATGGATGGATAGATACAGAGAGAGAGAGAGAGAGAGAGAGAGAGAGAGAGAGAGAGAGAGAGAGAGAGAGAGATGGCGGACTCCCAAGTTCCAGTTAAAAAAAACTTTTTAAAACTGGCCTAAGGAATCTTAAATTGAAAGATTCCTTCGTGCAGCACTGAAAGCTTGGTTAGAGAGCTATATGTTCACTGGCTCAAGGTTGACTCAGCCTTCCGTCCTTCCGAGGTCTGTAAAACGAGGACTCAGGTTGTTGGGGGTGGGAGGGGGCAAGAGGCTGACTCTGCAAACCGCTTAGAGAGGGCTGGAAAGCACTGTGAAGCGGCCTATAAGTCTAAAGGCTATTGCTATAACTACATACAATAAAGGTTGATCAACAAGTGTGTAACACCAGAAATGGGAAGAGAAAATCAGGAAACTGTTGTCTCGTTTATTTTGGCCACGTCTTGCGGGAAAATTCACTGGAGAAAGCAATTATGTTGGGAAGAATTAGTGGTAAAAGGAACTCGGTGGCTGGACACCGTCAAAGCTGAGCAGAACATAAGAAAAATCAAAGAAGCAGCTCAAGATCGGAAGACGTGGAGAGACCACCTGGCCCGGAGAACAGAGCAGAATTATGGAGCTGGAAGGGACCTTGGAGGTCTTCTAGTCCAACCCCCTGCTCAGGCAGGACCCCCTATACCAGGGGTCAGCAACCTGTGGCTCTGGAGCCGCATGTGGCTCTTTCATCCCTCTGCTGTGGCTCCCTGTTGCTGGTCGGCTCCACAAGTGATAGGGCTTCCGGTTAGGACAGGTAGAGGGAAAAGGACGCCGTGCTAGGAGGAGACTCTATGGTGGGGGAACCGGACTTCCGGTCAGCAGAGGAAAAAGGACACTGTGCTAGGAGGAGACTCTATGGTGGGGAAACTGGACTTCCGGTCAGCAGAGGAAAAAGGACGCTGTGCTAGGAGGAGACTCTATGGTGGGGGAACCAGACTTCCGGTCAGCAGAGGAAAAAGGATGCTGCGCTAGGAGGAGACTCTATGGTGGTGAAACTGGACTTCCGGTCAGCAGAGGAAAAAGGATGCTGCGCTAGGAGGAGACTCTATGGTGGGGAAACTGGACTTCCGGTCAGCTCCAGAATTAAATGGGGGTTAGGACCTTTGTGGCTCTTTGAGTGTTTAAGGTTGCCGACCCCTGGCCTATATCATGCTGGACAAATGGCTGTCCAGTCTCTTCTTAAAGACCTCCAGGGATGGAGAACCCACACCTTCTGGTGGCAAGCAGTTCCACTGGTTAATTGTTCTCACTGTTAGGAAATTTCTCCTTAATTCCAGGTTGCTTCTCTCCTTGGTTAGTTTCCATCCGTTGTTTCTCGTCCTGACTTCAGGGGCTGTGGAAAAATCTATGGAAAATAGGTGGAAACCCCCCTCCCCTTCCCTCAAATAGACTGCTATCGTGTCTTCCTTCTCTTCATTAGGCTAGACATTCCCAATTCCTGTAGCCGGTCTTGGGGAGGGGGACCATGCTAGGTGTGGGGAGACCCCATTTTAACCGGTTCTCCAACCCCCACATTCTTCCAACATTCGAGAACCGGCCCCCAAAGGTGCTTTTTCAAAAGACAGCCGGACTTTCTGTTTTTTTTTTTCCCCCTTGAAAACGTTTGGCTTCTCATCCAAGAAGCTTCTTCGGAGTTAACAGAATAACAGACTTGGAAGGGGCCTTGGAGGTCTTCTAGTCCAACCCCCTGCTCAGGCAGGAAACACTTGACTATATCATTTATTTAGGACTTCCTTCCTTCCTTCCTTCCTTCTTTCCTTCCTTCCCTGCCCTGCCCTGCCCTTCCCTTTTTCTTTCTTTTTTCTTTCTTTTCTTTCTTCCGTTTCTTCCTTCCTTTCCTTCCTTTCCTCCCTCCCTTCCTTACTTCCTTACCTCCTTCCTGCCCTGCCCTTTTTCATTCTTTTTTCTTTCTTCCCTTTCTTCCTTCTTTTCCTTTCTTTCTTTCTTCCTTCCTTTCCTTCCTTCCCTTCCTGTCTTCCTTCCTTCTTTCCTGTCTTCCTTCCTTCCTGCTTTCCTTCCTTCCTGCTTTTTTTTCTTTCTTTTTCTTTCTTTTTCTTTCTTTCTCTTTCTTTCTTTCCTTCCTTTCCTTCCTTTCTTCCTTCCTTTCTTTCCTTCCTCACTCCCTTCCTTACTTCCCTCTTGCCCTGCCCTGCATTTTTTCTTTCTTTTTTCTTTCTTCTTTCTTCCTTCTTTTCCTTCCTTTCTTTCCTTCCTCCTTCCTTTCCTGCCTCCCTCCCTCCCTTACTTCCTTACCTCCTTCCTGCCCTGCCCTTTTTCTTTCTTTTTTCTTTCTTCCCTTTCTTCCTTCCTTTCCTTCCTTTCTTTCTTTCTTCCTTCCTTTCCTTCCTGTCTTCCTTCCTTCTTTCCTATCTTCCTTTCTTCCTTCCTGCTTTCCTTCCTTCCTTCCTGGTTTTTTCTTTCTTTCTTTTTCTTTCTTTTTCTTTCTTTCTCTTTCTTTCTTTCCTTCCTTTCCTTCCTTTTCTTCCTTCCTTTCTTTCCTTCCTCACTCCCTTCCTTACTTCCCTCTTGCCCTGCCCTGCATTTTTTCTTTCTTTTTTCTTTCTTTCTTCCTTCTTTTCCTTCCTTTCTTTCCTTCCTCCTTCCTTTCCTGCCTCCCTCCCTCCCTTACTTCCTTACCTCCTTCCTGCCCTGCCCTTTTTCTTTCTTTTTTCTTTCTTCCCTTTCTTCCTTCCTTTCCTTCCTTTCTTTCTTTCTTCCTTCCTTTCCTTCCTGTCTTCCTTCCTTCTTTCCTATCTTCCTTTCTTCCTTCCTGCTTTCCTTCCTTCCTTCCTGGTTTTTTCTTTCTTTCTTTTTCTTTCTTTTTCTTTCTTTCTTTCCTTCCTTTCCTTCCTTCCTTTCTTTCCTTCCTCCCTCCCTCCCTTCCTTTCCTTTCTTCCTCCGTTTCTTCCTTTCATTCCTGTCTTCCTTCCTGTTTTTTCTTCCTTCCTGTTTTTTCTTCCTTCCTGTTTTCTTTCTTTCTTTCTTTCTCTTTCTTTCCTTTCTTCCTTCCTTCTTTTCTTTTCTTTTCTTTTCTTTTCTTTTTTCTTTCTTTCTTTCCTTCCCCCTCCCCCTGAAGAACTAAAGAAGCCTCTCGGCTGAGAATGAAAACATTTCCAAGGGGGGGGAAAACCCAAGAAAGTCCAGTTTCCTTTGGGAAAAGCACCTCTGGGACCCCCGTGACCTGAATGACGGAGACCCCCCCACGGACCTTCAGGAACTGGCTTGGCACCCTTTTTGCACCCACCTTCCACCGAGACTTCCCGGGAGCGCACCAGGTCGGTCTTGTTCCCCACCAGGATGATGGGCAGGTTCTCCGCCTGCCGAGTCCTCCGGAGTTGAATGCGCAGCTCGGAGGCGCTCTCGAAGCTGCCCCGGTCGGTGATGGAGTAGACAATCACATACGCGTCTCCCACCTGCATGCAGTGGCTGTGCAGCCAGTTGTCTTCTTCCGATGCCTGCAAGAAGAGCGGACCGAGAAGGATGCTCACAAGAGGGGAAGGGTCTCCTTTGCCCTCCGCCCCACCTGGATCCACGCTTAGCATTTTGAGCCCAAAGGGAGAGGTATAAATCTTGGCATCCTTTTCTTGTTAGCAGTGATGCAGTGGCCTAGAGGTGCATCTCTCGCCTCACAATCAGGAGGCTGTGAGTTCGATCCTAGGTAGAGGCAGATATTTCTCTCTCTGGGCACATTGAGACTATATCTGCTGAACAAAACTCCGTACTGGCGACAGGGAAAGGCATCCGGCCAGTAAAACACTCGGCTCCATTCAGTTGCCCAGACTCCACCACGCAAGGGATTATGGGGTCGTTAAAAGATGATGATGATGATGATGATCCTTTTCTTGCTAGCACAGGTAGCCCGCAACTCACAACCTTTGGTTCAGTGACCGTTCGGAGTTACAACGGCCCTGAAAAAAGTGACTTATGGCTGTTTTCGCACTTACGACCGCTGCACCATCTCCACCGTCACGTGATCAAAATTCAGACGCTTGGCAATAGACTCCTATTTACGACGGTGGCAGCGTCCCCGTGGGTGTGGGTGTCACATGATCCCCATTTGCGACCTTCCAACAAGCAAAGTCCCTGGGGAAGCCGGATTCACTTAACAACCGTGTGACTCATTTTACAAGTGAAGTGATTCACTTAACAACGGCGGCAAGAAAGTTCGTAAAACGGGGCATCGCTCACTTAACAGCTGTCTCGCTTAGCAATGGAAATTTGGGGCTCTACTGTGGCTGTAAGTCGAGGAGTACCTGTCCCTGGAGTGCCCCATAACACAGGTGATCCGTTTGTGCCAGGTGAGGACAGGACCAAAAGATACCCATCGCTTGATTACCTGAGCACAGGTGATTTCCTTGAAAGGCCACTGCCACCCCTGAACTGAAGCTCTAAGAATTAATTGAATTGAATTCATGTATTTGTTTGTTTCCTGATTTTATTATTTTTTTTTTACAAATAACTCAAGGTAGTAAACATGTGCAACGCACCTTCCTATTTTCCACACAACAACCCTGTGAGGTGAGATGGGCTGAGAGAGAGAGAGAGAGAGAGACTGGTCCAAAGTCACTCAGCCAGCTTTCATGCCTAAGGCGGGACTAGAACTCACTGGATCCTGGTGATTGGCCCAAAGTCACCCAGCCAGCTTTTACACCTAAGGCGGAACTAGAACTCACCATCTCCTGGTGATTGGCCCAAAGTCACCCAGTCAGCTTTCATGCCTAAGGCGGGACTAGAACTCACCGTCTCCTGGTGATTGGCCCAAAGTCACCCAACCGGCTTTCATGCCTAAGGCGGGACTAGAACTCACCATCTCCTGGTGATTGGCCCAAAGTCACTCAGCCGGCTTTCATGCATAAGGCGGGACTAGAACTACCGTCTCCTGGTGATTGGCCCAAAGTCACCCAGTCAGCTTTCATGCCTAAGGCGGGACTAGAACTCACCGACTCCTGGTGATTGGCCCAAAGTCACCTAGCCGGCTTTCATGCCTAAGGCGGGACTAGAACTACCGTCTCCTGGTGATTGGCCCAAAGTCACCCAGCCGGCTTTCATGCCTAAGGCGGGACTAGAACTCACCGCCTCCTGGTGATTGGCCCAAAGTCACCCAGCCGGCTTTCATGCATAAGGCGGGACTAGAACTACCGTCTCCTGGTGATTGGCCCAAAGTCACCCAGCCGGCTTTCATGCCTAAGGCGGGACTAGAACTCACCATCTCCTGGTGATTGGCCCAAAGTCACTCAGCCGGCTTTCATGCCTAAGGCGGGACTAGAACTACCGTCTCCTGGTGATTGGCCCAAAGTCACCCAGCCGGCTTTCATGCATAAGGCGGGACTAGAACTCACCGTCTCCTGGTGATTGGCCCAAAGTCACCCAGCCGGCTTTCATGCCTAAGGCGGGACTAGAACTACCGTCTCCTGGTGATTGGCCCAAAGTCACCCAACCGGCTTTCATGCCTAAGGCGGGACTAGAACTCACCATCTCCTGGTGATTGGCCCAAAGTCACTCAGCCGGCTTTCATGCATAAGGCGGGACTAGAACTACCGTCTCCTGGTGATTGGCCCAAAGTCACCCAGTCAGCTTTCATGCCTAAGGCGGGACTAGAACTCACCGACTCCTGGTGATTGGCCCAAAGTCACCTAGCCGGCTTTCATGCCTAAGGCGGGACTAGAACTACCGTCTCCTGGTGATTGGCCCAAAGTCACCCAGCCGGCTTTCCTGCCTAAGGCGGGACTAGAACTCACCGCCTCCTGGTGATTGGCCCAAAGTCACCCAGCCGGCTTTCATGCATAAGGCGGGACTAGAACTACCGTCTCCTGGTGATTGGCCCAAAGTCACCCAGCCGGCTTTCATGCATAAGGCGGGACTAGAACTCACCGTCTCCTGGTGATTGGCCCAAAGTCACCCAGCCGGCTTTCATGCATAAGGCGGGACTAGAACTCACCATCTCCTGGTGATTGGCCCAAAGTCACTCAGCCGGCTTTCATGCATAAGGCGGGACTAGAACTCACCGTCTCCTGGTGATTGGCCCAAAGTCACCCAGCCGGCTTTCATGCCTAAGGCGGGACTAGAACTACCGTCTCCTGGTGATTGGCCCAAAGTCACCCAACCGGCTTTCATGCCTAAGGCGGGACTAGAACTCACCATCTCCTGGTGATTGGCCCAAAGTCACTCAGCCGGCTTTCATGCATAAGGCGGGACTAGAACTACCGTCTCCTGGTGATTGGCCCAAAGTCACCTAGCCGGCTTTCATGCCTAAGGCGGGACTAGAACTACCGTCTCCTGGTGATTGGCCCAAAGTCACCCAGCCGGCTTTCCTGCCTAAGGCGGGACTAGAACTCACCGCCTCCTGGTGATTGGCCCAAAGTCACCCAGCCGGCTTTCATGCATAAGGCGGGACTAGAACTACCGTCTCCTGGTGATTGGCCCAAAGTCACCCAGCCGGCTTTCATGCCTAAGGCGGGACTAGAACTCACCATCTCCTGGTGATTGGCCCAAAGTCACTCAGCCGGCTTTCATGCCTAAGGCGGGACTAGAACTCACCATCTCCTGGTGATTGGCCCAAAGTCACTCAGCCGGCTTTCATGCCTAAGGCGGGACTAGAACTCACCGTCTCCAGCTTTCTAGTCTGGTTCCTTAACCAACAGACCAAAGCCACAGCTTTCTGCAAAGTTTGACAATATCTATATTAATACTGTATTTTTCAATCTTGACAACTTTAAGACAGATGGCCCTGTCCATCTCTCCCAGCCCAGCCCACCTCACAGGATTGTTGTTGTCATTGTGGGGAAAATGGGAGGAGAAAGGTATGTTGGATATGTTCGCGGCCTCTTTGCAAAAAATAATAACGGCGGGATATGAAGAAATAAAGAAATTTTGTCCATCGGTCAGGAAGAGCTCTTTGCAAATTTTCTCCAGCCGAGAAAGATGCAGGCTCCCTTACCTGTTTGAGAAAGGTACACCTGGCCTAGCTCCCTAGGTCAGATCACTCCCACCTACCCGCTTTTCAGCTTCCCAAGTGTCAATCACCACCAGCGTGGTCTCCTCCCCGTCCACGGACAAGGTGCGCTCAAAGGTGTCATCTGGAAAGAAGCAGAAGCGGTTCAGGATTAGCAATAAAGAGAGACCGGGATTCAGCCGGTTCGGGTGAAACGGTTATTAAATTTCTGGCTGGCCCCGCCCCACCCCGCCCCTTCCAGGAGTCCTTTTTGGCTCCCAGGCAGGGAGGCCTACTAGGCCCAAAATGGGACATGGGGGGGGGATGCAGCACAGCCCCACCATGCCCCGTTTTTGCTCCCAGGAGGCTGCAGGGAAGCCTGCTCGGCAGTGATGGGATTCAGCCGGTTTGGGCCGGTTCGGACGAATTGGTTGTTAAATTGCTGGCTGGCCCCACCTCTCCCCGTCCCTCCCCTTCCAGGAGTCCCCACGCACCCGTTGTGGCTCCCAGGAAAGTGCAGAGAGGCCTACTAGGCCCAAAACAAAGTGCAGAGGGGTGCGGTGCGCCCCCCCGTCCCATTTTTGCTCCCAGGAGGCTGCAGGGTGGCCTACTAGGCCCAAAATGGGGCGTGTGGGGGAACAGCCCCCCCGCGGCCTGTTTATTCTCCCAGGGGGGTGCAGGAGGCCAAATGCTACCTGTCACACCCCCTGGCCACACCCACCATGGCCACGCCCACCCAGCCGGTCATTAGGGCAGAGAACCGGTCGTTAAAATTATTTGAATCCCAGCACTTGGAGGAGACCCAGAGAATTGCAACTGTCCCAGACTCCGGAAACGTGGGCAAGCGGTTGAAATCAGAGAGGAAAAATGCTAATAAGTCACCAACTTCAGTCCATCAAGTTGAAGCAAGGAAGCCGAAGGACAGCTGTGGTGCTCTCTGAGCTTGGATGCTTTCTTACAGACGTTTCCTGACCAAACTAGGGAACATCATCAGTACTAGAAGGAAGGGGGGGTTGCAGAGAGGAGGAGGAAGAGGAGGAGGAATAGGAGGAAGAGGAGGAGGACTGGGGGGTCCTTGGTGCTCTCTGAGCTTGGTTCTTTCCCTGCAGATATTTCATGACCCAACTAGGTAACCTCATCCATGCCCCCCCACAAAAAAACAACCCTCCCTTTTCGCACTGATGACGTTACCTAGTTGGGTCATAAAACGTCTGCAAGATTAACAGCCAAGCTCAGAGACCACCAAGGACTCCATGGTTAGAAAGATTCCTGAGGAATCAGGATTGTAAAATAATTCTGCATTTTCCAACGCATCTCCAAATGCTCTTTCGCCGTCTCCGCTTCGAGCCTCGGGCTTCTTCGAGAAACTGCTTTGTAAAAAATTAATCGGCCTCTTGTCGGGGTCACAGATCACCCACAAAAGGGAGACCATCAGGCCCACCATTTTCTCCTCTCCCCCACCCCAAAATAAGCTTCGCAAAAATCTGACTCTCGCCCCCATCCAGCCCCCTCCCCAGGAAAGAATGAATAAATAAATAAATAAATAAATAAATTTATTTCTATACCGCCCTTCTCCCGAAGGACTCAGGGCGGTGTACAGCCTATTAAAAACACAAGACAACATCCGTTAAAATAGTTTAAAATTATTAAATGAATTCGGCTCAATTTAAAACCCCAGGAATTTAAAACCGAATTATTTATTTATTTTATTTTATTTTATTTATTTATTTAAATTTCTATACCGCCCTTCTCCCGAAGGACTTCAGGGCGGTGAACAGCCACAAGATAAAAACACATAAATACAAAAAAAATTTAAAATAAATTAAAAACGAATTAAATAATTTGGCTGAATTCAAATTACCCCATAATTTAAAAACAAATTAAAATTTACATTTAAAAAGGGGAGAAGATTTAGGCCGGGCCAGTGGCCTAAATCTGAAAAATTAGAGACCCCCCTACCTCTCTGCTGCTCCAGCGAGTCCTTTTCCTGCACCCCGGCAAAAACGCTCACCAGGGTGCTCTTGCCCACTCCGGGGTCACCGAGCAGGACCACGCGGTAGAGAGATTCACAGGATTCCTCCGAGCCGGAGGATTCGGAGCGCCAGCCGCCGCAGGGCTCCGGGAGGCGGGCTCGGGGTTCGCAGGATAAAGACTGCCCCAACTGGGGGTGGCAGAGCTCAGCCCGCCTGCTCCCGGGGTTCAGCCTCTCCCGATGAGAAGCCGGAAGAGGGGTGCTGGCCCGTCGCTGGCCCGGACCCCCGGGGCTTCCCCGCTGGATGTTCAGCGTCATCTTCTGCCCAAGAGAATCGGTCCACGGTTAACTTTGCGGCTCTGGTGAAAGAAGGGATCCAGCTGTTCTCCAAAGCACCTGAAGGCAGGACGAGAAAAGACGGGTGGAAACTCATCAAGGAGAGAAGCAACCTGGGATTAAGGAGGAATTTCCTGACCGAAGAATTAACCAATGGAACAGCTTGCCACCAGAAGTTGTGGGTGCTCCCACACTGGAGGTTTTCATGAAGAGATTGGATAACCATTTGTGTCCAGAATGGTATAGGACAGGGGTCGGCAACCTTAAAAAGTCAAAGAGCCACAAACGTCCTAACTGGAAGCTCCCCATTCCAGGGGTGGGTTCTAAATTTTTTTACTACCGGTTCTGTGGGCGTGGCTTATTTTGTGGGTGTGGCTTGGAGGTCATGTGACTAGGTGGGCGTGGCTAGCTGGTCAGAGTCATTTCTGGAAGGCCCTCGCACTTACGACCAGTCCTCGCACTTACGACCCGACTCATTTGTTTGCTTTTAACACTGATCAGCTGCAGGACGGCCCTTTGAAGCCCCGCGGCAAAAGTTTAAACAGTTTTTTTCCCTCTAGTCATCAGCTGGGACTCAGGAGTCAGCAATAGATTGGGGGTGGGACCAAATAAAAGGTAAGAATAACGTGGGGGGGTGGGAGGGCGGGGGGGAGAGCCGGTTCGGTGACGTCATATCGTCACCGCTACCGGCTCGGCCGAACCGGACTGAACCGGGAGGAACCCACCACTGCCCCATTCCATTCTGGAGCCGACCGGAAGTCCAGTTTCCCCCACCATAGAGTTTCCTCCTGGCACGGCATCCTTTTTCCTCTACCTGTCCTAACCGAAAGCCCTATCAATTGTGGAGCTGACCAGCAATAGGGAGCCCCAACAGAGGGATGAAAGAGCCACATGCGGCTCCAGAGCCACAGGTTGCTGACCCCTGGTATAGGATAATGATGGCTAACTGTTTTCCATCGCAGGCCAAAAGCTGGGGGAGTGTGGGGTGGTCGTGTGCGTGCGTGCCCACACCCCTATTCTATGCACCCCGCCCCCCCATGTTCTGTCCCCGTCCCACACACACACACCCACAGACGGCCCGGAGTTAATAAGCCACACGACAAAGTCTTTGAAGATAAAGCTGGCAGCAACCCAGTGGCTAGCTGCCAATTCAGACTTTACTCACACGAAACAAAGATTAGACTGCCAGCATTCCGATAAAACAGGCAGAGTGTCAACAATACAAGGATTAGTCCAAATGCAGTCCGATAAGGCAGGCAGAAGTCCAGTAACGCAGAGATCATGGATTATTTCTAGTTTTTGCTCGTCACAAACTGAACCGGTCACCACACCCACATTTATACCCTGTGGGGTGTGGTCCAGTGACTCAGCTAATCTCTGGCATGCCTTCCCCTCTGCTGCGCACGCTTCTCCCTGTGCCACTGTTGAGGATCCAGCCAGCACTTATCTCCTTCGTCGCTGTCCACCTGTGGCTGCGGGGACGTGCTTGGCTCTGGGTCTATCTCTTGGCCTTCGGTGTCCTCCGGAGGCATTGCCAGAGAGGAGGGTCCTGGAGAGGGAGGCCTTGCCAACTCCTCTCCCTCACTCTCAGAGTCTGCATCTGTCGATAGCCCAGGCTCAGGCAACAGAGCCACAACACCCCATGCTTCCCTGCTTTTGGCATGTGATGCCATGATGGGCCTGGTAGACCCGGTTTTTTTGCCCTCCCCAGGCTCCAGAAGCTTTCTAGGAGCCTGGGGAGGGTGAAAACAACTTTCCCCACCCCCTTCTGTTTGCCGACTTACGGTGGACCCAAAGGCCCAAAAATCAGCTGGCCAGTGCGCATATGCACACTGGAGCTGACCTAGGGAATGCTCGCGTGCCCACCAATATGGCTCTGTGTGTCACCTGTCGCACGCTAGGTTCACCATCACAGGTATAGGATTTCTTGCTTGAACAGGGGGTTGGACTAGAAGACCTCCAAGGTCCCTTCCAGCTCTATTGAGCTGGATCAATTACGAAGAAGCGTACACAATAGCAGTGGTTCTGGTATTTGAGGGGCTGTTGCAAAGAAGAGGGAGTCAAGCTATTCTTCAAAGCACCAGAATGCAGGACAAGAAGCAACGGATGGAAACTCATCAAGGAGAGAAGAACTTAGAACTAAGGAGAAATTTCCTAACAGTGAGGACAATTAACCAGTGGAACAGCTTGCCACCAGAAGCTGTGGTTGCTCCATCACTGGAGTTGTTTAAGAAGAGATTGGACAGCAATTTGTCGGGGATGGTTTAGGGCTATGAGGTTGGAGTAGAAGACCTCTATTATTCTATAAAAGAGCCTTGGTAGTACAGTGGTCTAAAGCACCCTGTTATTAACACCAGCTGCCTGCAATTACTGCGAGTTCAAATCTCCCCAGGCTCAAGGTTGACTCAGCCTTCCATCCTTTCTAAGGTAGGTGAAATGAGGACCCGGATTGTGGGGGCAATAAGCTGACTTTGAATAAATATACAAAAGTATGAAGGCTATTGCTTAACGCATTGTAAGCCGCCCTGAGTCTCCGGAGAAGGGCGGCATATAAATCAAATTTTTAAAAAAAATTGATTATTTTGCAAACAGCAGCTCTTGCTCTGACCTTGAAAGCCTCCTGCATCCAGACTAGTGGGGACAGGATAGCAGTCTCCCAATATTTGAGGGGCTGCCAGAAGGAAGAGGGGGGTCAACCGGGGTGAAATCCAGCAGGTTCTGACAGGTTCCGGAGAACCGGTAACGGAAATTTTGAGTAGTTCGGAGAACCAGCAAATGCCACCTCTGGCTGGGCCCAGAGTGGGGAAGGAAGGCAGATTTTGCAATATCATTCCGCCAGGAGTGGAGAGGGAATGGGGATTTTGCAGTATCCTTCCCTTGCCACGCCCACCAAGCCACACCCACCAAGCCACGCCCACAGAACCGGTAGAAAAAAAAACCTTGGATTTCACCAGTGGCGTCAACCTATTTTCCAAAGTACCTGAAGGCAGGACAAGAAGCAACAAGGGATGGAAACTAATCAAGGAGAACATAACAGAATAACAGAGTTGGAAGGGACTCTGGAGGTCTTCTAGTCCAACCCAGGCAGGCAACCCTATACCATTTTAGACAAGTGATTGTCCAATATCTTCTTTAAAAAAAAACCTGTTCTCCAAAGCACCAGGACAAGAAAGCAACGGACGGAAATTAACCAAGGAGAGAAGCAACCTGGAACTTCCTGACAGTGAGGACAATTAACCAGTGGAACAGCCTGCCACCAGAAGTTGTGGGTCCTCCAACACTGGAGGTTTTTAAGAAGAGACTGGACAGTCTGGAATGGTAGAAGTAGTCCTCGATTTACAACAGTTCATTTTAGTGCCTGTTCAGGGGTACAAACGGCAATGAAAAAAAGCCACCGAGATGGGGAAAGACTCCCTTAACAAATGTTTCACTTAGCAACATACATTTTGGGCTCAATTGTGGTCCTAACTCGAGGACTACCTGTATTTATTTATTCAATTTATTTATTTATTCAATTTATATGCCGCCCCTCTCCGAAGACCCAGGACGGCTCACAATACACTCAAAAAATCACTATGAAAACATTGAAAAATTAAAGACATTAAAACCCATTCACACCATTCATGGCCGGATCTCGTCAGATCGCAAGAGCGAGATCAACGGCCCCAGGCCTGCCGGAAAAGCCAGGTCTTCACCGCTTTCCGGAAGGCCAATAGGGTGGGGGAGATCCGGACCTCAGGAGGTAACTGGTTCCAGAGACCTGGGGCAGCCACAGAGAAGGCCCTCCCTCGTGGGCCCGCCAGCCGGCATTGTTTAGCTGATGGGACCCGGAGGAGACCGACTCTGTGGGATCTTACCGGTCGCTGGGAGCTATGCGGCAGAAGGCGGTCTCGAAGATAACCTGGCCCTGAGCCATGTAGGGCTTTAAAGGTAATAACCAACACCTTGAATTGTGACCGGAGACCAATAGGGAGCCAGTGCAGCTCGCGGAGAATTGGTGTAATGTGGGTGTACCTAGGTGCACCCACGACAGCTCTCGCGGCTGCATTCTGGACCCACTGTAGTCTCCGAACACTCTTCAAGGGTAGCCCCATGTAGAGCGCGTTGCAATAATCTAACCGTGAGGTGACAAGGGCATGAGTGACCGTGAGGAGAGCCTCCGGATCCAAGTAGGGTCGCAATTGGTGCACCAGGTGAACCTGTGCAAAGGCCCCCCTAGCCACAGCTGCCAGATGTTGCTCTAATCTTAGCTGCGAGTCTAGGAGGACACCCAGATTGCGAGCCTGTTCTGAGGGGGACAATTTCTCACCACCCCCCCGCAGAACCAAGGATGGACAATCGACATAGTCTTTAGGAGGCAATACCCACAACCACTCGGTCTTGTCTGGGTTAAGTCTGAGCCTGTTGACTCCCATCCAGACCCTCACAGCCTCCGGGCACCGGCCCATCACATCCACCGCATCACTGAATTGACGCGGGGTAGAGATATACAGCTGGGTATCATCCGCGTATTGCTGCTACTTCACCCCGTATCGTCGGATGATCTCACCCAGCGGCTTCATGTAGATGTTAAATAGGAGGGGAGAGAGGACCGAGCCCTGAGGCACCCCGCAAACGAGGGGCTTAGGGGTCGACCTCTGTCCTCCGACCAACGCCGACTGTGGCCGACCAGAGAGATAGGAGGAGAACCACCGTAACACGGTGCCTCCCACTCCCAGCTCCCTTAATCGTCCCAGGATACCATGGTCAACGGTATCGAAAGCCGCCGAGAGGTCAAGTAGCACCAAGATGGAGGAATGACCCCCATCTCTCATATTGCTGATACCTCACCCCGTATCGTCGGATGATCTCACCCAGCGGCTTCATGTAGACGTTAAATAGGAGGGGAGAGAGGACCGAGCTCTGAGGCACCCCGCAAACGAGGGGCTTAGGGGGTCGACCTCTGTCCTCCGACCAACGCCGACTGTGACTGACCAGAGAGATAGGAGGAGAACCACCGTAACACGGTGCCTCCCACTCCCAGCTCCCTTAGTCGTCCCAGGATACCATGGTCAACGGTATCGAAAGCCGCCGAGAGGTCAAGTAGCACCAAGATGGAGGAATGACCCCCCCCCATCTCGGGCTCGCCAGAGATCATCCATCAGCGTGACCAAAGCAGTTTCCGTGCTGTAGCCAGTCCTGAAGCGAGACTGAAAAGGGTCTATTGGGTTTATTGTGCTTATCACATGCACGTGTCTTTATTTATTTATTTATTTTTTATCCTTGGTCACGCACTTTCCGCCGCGCTCTCAAGACCTTTTTATTTCACCAGGCTGGTCTGGCCTAACCTCTCCCATTCTCTTTTCAATGTAAATTTTAATGTAAATTTTAATTTGTTCTTAACCTGGGGTTTTAAATTTGTCTTGGGCTAAATTGATTTAATCCGATCTTACTTCTGCTCTTAAATTTTTGTATTCTACGTGTTTTATTTTGTGCCTGTTCACTGCCCTGAGTCCTTCGGGAGCAGGGCGGTATATAAATCAAATCAAATGAAAAAAAAATGAAAATGAAAAAAAAGGGTTCACCATTTAAATCACACACCCACACCCAGAGAATGCTGATAGAGCTAATCTTCCCCTGACAAGCATTTGTTTAGTGACAATTCGAACCAAAATACCACTGAAAAAAGTGACTTACGACCACGTTTCAACTTACAACCTTTGCAGTCATCCCCGCCCTGCCCCCCCTCCCACAGCCACATGACCAAAATTCATGAGCTTGGCAACTTGGCACGTATTTATTTATTTATTTATTTATTTATTGGTTCAATTTATATGCCACTCTTCTCCAGAGACTCAGGGCGGCTTACAATGCTTTTAAGCAATAGCCTTCATACTTTTTGTATATACCTGCTTAGTAGGGCTTTCCCCCCCCCAAGCGGTGTTCTTTATTATACAAAGTCAGCTTATTGCCCCCACAATCCAGGTCCTCATTTTACCTACCTCGGAAGGATGGAAGGCTGAGTCATCCTTGAGCCCGGTGAGATTCGAACTCGCAGTAATTGCAGGCAGCTGGCAGCTAAGTGCTACCTTAACAGCACTTTAGTCCGCTGCGCCACCAAGGCTCAGCATCCCGGGATTGCGTGATCCCACGCCCCCCTTTTTGCAACCTTCCCACCAGCAAAGTCAGTGGGAGAGCCAGATCCACTCAAAACACCCACATGACCAACTGCACAGCTGCAGCGATTCGCTTAATAACTGTGGCAAGAAAGGTCATAAAACGGGGCAGAGCTCCTGCCTCGCTTAGCAACAGGGAACCTGGGGCTCCTCGTGGTTGGGAGTCGAAGACCGCCTGCAGTTCGGGCTGATTCGTGCATTTTTGACTTTATTTGCCAAGTAAGACAAAAGGTGCCTCTTTTTTTTGTGTGTGTCTTGTGTTTGCCGCTCCCTCTCACAACACACAACTCTCTTATCACCATGACACCAGGAGAGCCCAGGATCAATGAAATAGAGCTGTGACTTTTGGCTCCTCCGAACTCAGCACCACCTGCCAGCAAAAACTTGAATTTCTGCATTGATCTCAGAAAACGGACGGGATCCATTCTCCTACCCTAGGCCCTTCCTTTATGCTCCTTCCTTCCAATTCCTCACAATTCGTGACTCACAAATTCCTTGTTGCTTTTTTAGAATAGAATTAGAATAGAAGCTGGAAGGGACCTCGGAGGTCTTCTAGTCCAACCCCCTGCTGAGGCAGGAGAGCCTATCCCATTTCAGACAAATGGCTGTCCAGTCTCTTCTTGAAATCCTCCAGTGATGGAGCACCCCACAACTTCTGGAGGCAAGTAGTTCCACTGGTTAATACTCACTGTCAGGAAATTTCTCCTTAGTTCTAGATTGCTTCTCTCCTTAACAGAACATTTAATTAAATGTTTAATTAACGCATTGTAAGCCGCCCTGAGTCTCCGGAGAAGGGCGGCGTATAATGATTTTATGGTGGGTTTTTAAAATTTGAAATTGGTTTTTGAATTGAAATGTTTTAAATTATGGGCCAAACTTTATGTAATTATCTTAAATCTATTTTAACTTTTGTGTACAAATGTTTTACTTTGGCTGTTCACCGCCCTGAGTCCGAAAGGAGAAGGGCGGTATAGAAATCTGAAAAATAAATAAAATTAAATAAATAAATAAAAAACAAAAAAAACCCAACAACAACAGAATAGCAGAGTTGGGACCTCGGAGGTCTTCTAGTCCAGCCCCCCTGCTCAAGGAGGAGAACCTACCATTTCAGACAAATGGCTGTCCAATGTCTCCTTAAAAACCTCCAGTGTTGAAGCAACCCACATTTTCTGGAGGCAAGTCGTTCCACTGGATTACTCGATGAATCCAACTCATTTCCTTGGCTCCCCCACCCCTGGCTGCTTGCAGATTTCTCTCTGCTACCTCGGCTTTTAATTTCAATTTAATTTCAGTACCTGGATCCTCTTTTGGGCTAGATGAAGAAGCCTGTTAGCCCACAAGTGAAATTAGAGCCTTGGTAGTACAGTGGTCTAAAACACCCTGTTATTAACACCAGCTGCCTGCAATTACTGCAAGTTCGAATCTCACCAGGCTCAAGGTTGACTCAGCCTTCCATCCTTTCTAAGGTAGGTAAATTGAGGACCCAGTTTGTGGGGGCAATAAGCTGACTTTGTATAAATATACAAAAGGATGAAGGCTATTGCTAAGCGCATTGTAAGCCGCCCTGAGTCTCCGGAGAAGGGCGGCATATAAATCAAATTTAAAAAAAAGAAAGAAAGAAAGAGAGAGAGAGAAAGAAAGAAAGAAAAAGAAGGGAGGGAGGGAGGAAAAAGAAAGAAGAAAGAAAGAAGGGAGGGAGGGAGGGAAAGAAAGAGAGAGAGAGAAAGAAAGAAAGAAAAAGAAGGGAGGGAGGGAGGGAAAGAGGGAGGGTCTGGTGGCTCAGCAGACTGATAGCATTGTGATTAAGACCAGCTGCCTGCAATTACTGCAGGTTCGAATCTCTCCAAGGCTCAAGGTTGACTCGCCTTCCATCCTTCCAAGGTAGGTAAATTGAGGACCTAGTTTGTGGGGGCAATAAGCTGACTTTGTATAAATATACAAAAGGATGAAGGCTATTGCTTAACGCATTGTAAACCGCCCTGAGTCTCCGGAGAAGGGCGGCATATAAATCAAATTTAAAAGAAAGAAAGAAAGAAAGAAAGAGAGAGAGAGAAAGAAAGAAAAAGAAGGGAGGGAGGGAGGAAAAAGAAAGAAGGAAAGAAAGAAGGGAGGGAGGGAGGGAAAGAAAGAGAGAGAGAAAGAAAGAAAGAAAAAGAAGGGAGGGAGGGAGGGAAAGAGGGAGGGTCTGGTGGCTCAGCAGACTGAAAGCATTGTGATTAACACAGCTGCCTGCAATTACTGCAGGTTCGAATCTCACCAGGCTCAAGGTTGACTCAGCCTTCCATGCTTTCTAAGGTGGATAAATTGAGGACCCAGTTTGTGGGGGCAATAAGCTGACTTTGTATAAAATATACAAAAGTATGAAGGCTATTGCTTAACGCATTGTAAGCCGCCCTGAGTCTCCGGAGAAGGGCGGCATATAAATCAAATTAAAAATAAAAAAAATAAAAAAAAAAGTATCACCAAGCCCATCGTCCTTTTGCGTCCTTTAGGTCTCTCTCCCTCCCTCCCCCTCTCCGGGTTGCAATCCAACTCTGCTTTCTTGCCAGGGCACCAGTAACCCAATGCCAGGCAAGCTGGTTTTGCCAGCTCCCTCCTTCCAAAACACGGTTAAAAATTCAAAAAGGGAAAGCAGTTTCCGATTGTCACCCGCGGCATAAAGTTACAGGCGCGTCCCGCAAACCGGGCTGGCTCTAGTAAGGTTGAGGAGGGGGAGGAAAGGCGAAGGTGCACCTGAGCACGTGCAAAGGCTCATGGCCCTGCTTTCCCACGGGGGGGGGCGTTATTCCCAAAGGGGCCGCGCGCTTCCACTTGGGTGGGGGTCTCTATTCCAGGGGCGTCCATCCAACCTTGGCATCCTTAAGACTTGCGGGTTCCAACTTCTTCGCTTGGCTGGGGAATTCTGGAAGTTCTGGAGTCCGCAAGTCTTAAGAGTTTACCGATTAACGGAGCTGGAAGGGACCTTGGAGGTCATCTAGTCCAGCCCCCCCGCCCAAGCAGGAGACTCTGCGCCATTTCTGACCGATGGCAGCCCAGTCTCTTCTTGGAAGCATCCAGGGATGAAGCTCCCACGACTTCCGAAGGCAACTTCTGTTCCATTGCTGGATGGCTCCAAAACTGCACAGGTTGCAAGACCCCCTACTCTACCCTCTTTAATTGGGCGGGGGATCCGGAATCCTTCTCCCTCCCCCAGAAACCTCGCGAAAAGCGAGTCACGGGTGGAAAGCTTTCCAGGGCACTCTGCATGGCCTCGGGGGGTCCTCTCGGGGGGAGGGGCGGGCTCTAAAAGTCGCAGGAGGGGCTCCCACTGGAGCGGGGGTCGCGCGCTCCTCCACCCACTCACCCAGGTGGAGGAGACCTCCCCACGCGCCGCTTTCCAAATTTGGGTGGGTGGGAAGGTAGCTGGCCGTCACTTCTCCAAGCTTACCAACTCGACGGGTCGCTCCCGGGGGTCCTCCGGCCGCCCCCAACTTTGCGCCCGATCCAGCCCGTCCGGCTTCATGGCGCAGCGTCGGCCGCGGCGGGGCAGGGCAGGGCAGGCGGGGACTTTTAAGCGGAGCGGGCGGGACACACCCCCTGCGACCCAGATAGACCCCCCCCCGCTTCCCTTCCTCCCGCCCCGCCGCCGCCCTTCCCAAGCAGGACGAGAAGAAAGGGGTCACTCTTGAGAGCATCCAGACGGCTGGGCAGGGGTCTCCGCGGGCTGAGCCGTGGAGGGGAGCCGAGCTCTGCAGGGCTGGGGGGGGGGAGGGCATGGCTCAGTACCAGCCCCATCTCCTCTAGGGAAGACCCAGGCTGGCACTGGTCTCAGCCGTCTCCAAACTGGTTTTCCTTGGCAACTCATATTCCTTTCGGAAGGGGGGAATAACCAGAACCGAACAGCCAAGTCGGGAAGGGACCTTGGAGGTCTTCTAGTCCAACCCTCTGCCCAAGCAGGAGACCCTACACAATTCTGGACAAATGTCTGTCCAGTCTCTTCTTGAAAGCCTCCAGTGATGGAGCTACCCACAACTTCTGGTGGCAAGCAGTTCCACTGGTTAATTGTTCTCACTGTCAGGAAGTTTCTGCTTAGTTCCAGGTTGCTTCTCTCCTTGGTTAGTTTCCATCTCTTACTTCTTTTTTTTTTTTTTTAATTTGATTTATATGCCGCCCTTCTCCGGAGACTCAGGGCGGCTTACAATGCATTAAGCAATAGCCTTCATTCTTTTGTATATTTTATACAAAGTCAGCTTATTGCCCCCACAAACTGGGTCCTCAATTTACCCACCTTAGAAAGGATGGAAAGGCTGAGTCAACCTTGAGCCTGGGGAGATTCGAACCTGCAGTAATTGCAGGCAGCTGGTCTTAATAACAGGGTGCTTTAGACCACTGTACTACTAAAGCTTTTCTTGTCTTGCCTTCGGGTGCTTTGGAGACTAATTTAACCCCCTCTTTTTTGTGGCAGCCTCTCAAATACTGGAAGACAGCTATCATATCACACAGTGGTGAAATCCAAATTTTTTTATTACCGGTTCTGTGGGCAGTGGTGTGGCTTGGTGGGCGTGGAAGGGAAGGATACTGCAAAATCCCCATTCCCACACCACTCCTGGGGGAAGGATATTGCAAAACCCCCATTCCCACCCCACTCCTGGGGGAAGGATACTGCAAAATCCCCATTCCCACCCCACTCCTGAGGGAAGGCTCACTCTGGGGGAAGGATATTGCAAAATCCCCATTCCCACCCCACTCCTGAGGGAAGGCCCACTCTGGGGGAAGGATATTGCAAAATCCCCATTCCCACCCCACTCCTGAGAGAAGGATATTGCAAAATCCCCATTCCCTCCCTACTCCTGGGGAAAGGATACTGCAAAATCCCCATTCCCACACCACTCCTGGGGGAAGAATATTGCAAAATCCCCATTCCCACACCACTCCTGGGGGTAGGATATTGCAAAATCCCCATTCCCTCCCCACTCTGGGGCCAGCCGGAGGTGGCATTTGCCGGTTCTCCGAACTGCTCAAAATTTCCGCTACCGGTTCGCCAGAACCTGTCAGAACCTGCTGGATTTCACCCCTCCTGACACCCCTTCCATTTTTGTTATTCCATATTTGGGATCCAGATGGCTCCCTGGGGCCGTTCAGAGGACCACGAGAAACCAAGGTGGAGCTGTGAGAAAGGATTTAATGAGAGCAGCAGATGCTCAGCGATGCCCAAGTTCAGCCCTCCATGGCAATGTTGATGCTTTCCAGAAACTTTCCATCCCAATCCCAATATGGAAATTTTCAGAAAATGTGCATTTTTAAAAAGATCCCATCTGTTTTTATTCCGAGTTCACCCACAAAAAGGTAGTTCTTGAATTAAGCCTTTTCCTGGGGGGGTCCAATGCCAATGAACACTGCAGGTAAACCCCGACTTATGACCAAAACTGTCAAGAACTACCTGTATTTATATACTGACTTTATTATTATTATTTTTAGAAACAACTCATGCGGTACAGATAGTCCTCAACGTACGCCCAACTTTTCCGTTGCTAAGCAAGACAGTGGCATGGCGAGCTTTGCTTCATTTTATGACCTGTCTTGCCACAGGTGTTAACGTTGAACGGTCACTAAGTGAATGGTGGCAAGTCGAGGACTACTTCCGCGGCAGAGCCCGAGAGCTGCCCAAAGATACGAACATTTTGCATCCGCTCCAATTTTTGTTGCGATTCTCTTTCTGCTTTCTGACCCGAAAGCTTCAGGTCTCTCGAGGAGACATGGGTATGTCATGATTTGGACCGGATGTCCTTAATAAACGAGTTGCTTTGATGTAAATGGAATAGAATAGAATGAATGAGCTGGAAGGGGACATTGGAGGGCTTCTAGTCCAGCCCTCTGCTCAAGAGGGAGAACCTATACTCTTTCAGATCAGTGACTGCCTAGATTCTTCTTAAAAACTTCCAGTGATGGAGTGCCCACAACTTCTGGTGGCAAGCTGTTCCACTGGTTAATTGTCCTCCCTGTTAGGAAGTTTCTCCTCAATTCCAGGTTGCTTCTCTTCTTGATTGGTGTTCATCTATTCTTTCTTGTCCTGCCTTCAGGTGCTTTGGAGAATAAGCTGACCCCCTCTCCTTTGGGGCAGCCCCTCAAATGCTGGAATCCTGGTATCATGTCACCCCCTAATTCTTCTTTTCTCTAGACTAGGCGAACCCCAAATCCTGCAGCCGTTCTTCATATTGCTCTTCTCTGCACTTTTTCCAAAGTCTCAACATATTTTTGTTAAAGACCCCTTTAATTTGATCAACTTAAAGGCCATCTGTCTCCACCTCGTGGTGAATTCAGAGGCTGCAATGAAAAAAACCCCGACTCCACTGTTCTCTCTCACAAATGTGTTACTAACTTCATCAACAGCAGTGATTCAGCTAACAAATCTGGCAAAGAGACGGCGTAAAATGGGGCAAAACTCATTTAACAACGGTCTTGCTTAGCAATGGGGAATAACAGAGTTGGTAAAAAGGCGAAAGATTTATACGATCTGAAGAGAAACCAGAGTAGGTGGCTAGAGAAGAGAAAAATATAACCCAAATTAGATGAGGAATTATATCTATCGAGAAACTTTTATTATACAAGTAAAGTGAGATCGGATAGACCTAATTGTTTTATAAAGATATGTAAAATGTTCTGTCTTCTCCGGATTATAATATAAATATACAGTACCGAATACTAGGTTATTAAGGTACTGCTTATAGGTATGCTTCTTTTTTTGTCCTTTTCTGCTTGCAGCTGTTGTGTTGTCTTGTTTGTTATTTATATGATGTGTTGTCCTTTCTTTGTTTTTAATGGAAAATATAAAATATATAAATAAAGATTATTAAAAAAAAAAAAAGAATAAGAGTTGGAAGGGGCCTTGGAGGTCTTCTAGTCCAACCCCCTGCTTAAGCAGGAGATACCATTTCAGACAAGTGGATGTCCAGTCTTTTCTTGAAAACCTCCAGTGATGGAGGAGCGCCCACAATTTCTGGTGGCAAACAGTTCCACTGGTTAATTGTCCTCACTGTTAGGAAGTTTCTCCTTAGTTCTAGGTCGCTTCTCTCCTTGGTGAGTTTCCATCCGTTGCTTGTCCTGCCCTCAGGTGCTTTGGACACTAGGTGGATCTTCTCATTTTTGTGGCAGTTCCTCAGATATTGGAAAACTGCTATCATGTCACCCCTGGTCCTTCTCTTCATTAGATTAGACCAGGGGTCCTCAAACTTGGCAGCTTTAAGACTTGTGGACTTCAACTCCCAGAATTCTCCAGGCTGGAGAATTCTGGGAGTTGAAGTCCACAAGTCTTAAAGCTGCCAAGTTTGAAGGCCTCCGGATTAGATGTTCCCAATTCCTGCAACCATTCTTCATATGTTGTAGCCTTCAACATCCTAATCATCTTCATTGCTCTTCTCTGGGTTCTTTGTTGGGTTCAATTCTGGCTGCAAGTCAAGAACTACTGTGTTTCCCTGAAAATAAGCCCTCGCCGAAAATATTTAAACCCATGCCCAGCCGGTCCCCGCCATTCCCTCTGGTTAGGATCAGGGAGACAGAGCTGGAAATCGGGTAAGACGGCAAGAGGAGCTCCGTCTTGTTCCACGCGGCCCAAAATAATAAGATCTCCCCGAGAATAAGGCCAAGCGGTTATTTCGGGGTTCAAAAAATATAAGACAGGGTCTTATTTTCGGGGAAACACGGCACTGTAAGCCGTTCCTTGCAGGGCTGAATTTAACAGGGTGCTGGCTTTACGAATAGTCCTCCTCGGCTTACAACAGTTCATTTAGTGACCATCCAAAGTTACAACAGCACTGGAAAAAAGTGACACAGGACTGTTTTTCACAGTTATGACCTTTGTGTAAATCAAAATTCAGCCACTTGGCCACTGACTCGTATTGCTGTGTCTGCGATCATGTGATCCCCCTTTTGTGATCTTCTGATAAGCAAAGTCAATGAGGGGAAGCCAGATTCCCTCAACAGCCAAGTGTTGTGGCTCTGTTGCCTGAGCCTGGGCTATCGACAGATGCAGACTCTGAGAGTGAGGGAGAGGAGCTGGCAAGGCCTCCCTCTCCAGGACCCTCCTCTCTGGCAATGCCTCTGGAGGACACCGAAGGCCAAACGATAGGCTCAGAGCCAAGCACGTCCCCGCAGCCACAGGTGGACAGCGACGAAGGAGATAAGTGCTGGCTGGATCCTTGACAGCGGCACAGGGAGAAGCGTGCGCAGCACAGGGGAAGGCGTGCCAAAGATTAGCTGAGTCACTGAACCACACCCCACAGGGTATAAATGTGGGTGTGGTGGCCGGTTCAGTTTGTGATGAGCAAAAACTAGAAATAATCCATGATCTCTGCGTTACTGGACTTCTGCCTGCCTTGTCGGACTGCATTTGGACTAATCCTTGTATTGCTGAAACTTTGCCTGCTTTATCGGAATGCTTGCAGTCTAATCTTTGTTTTGTGTGAGTAAAGTTTGAATTGGCAGCTAGCCACTGGGTTGCTGCCAGCTTTATCTTCAAAGATTTTGTCGTGTGGCTTATTAACTCCGGGCCGTCTGTGGGGGTGCGTGTGTGGGACGGGGACAGAACACCAAGCTACTAACTTAATAGCAATGATTCGCTTAATAACTGTGGCAAGGAAGGTTGTAAAACGGGCCACTCCCTTAAACAAATGTCTCGCTCAATAACAGATTTTTTTTTTTTTTTTTGATTTATATGCCGCCCTTCTCCGGAGACTCAGGGCGGCTTACAATGCGTTAAGCAATAGCCTTCATCCTTTTCTATATTTATACAAAGTCATCTTATTGCCCCCACAATCTGGGTCCTCATTTTACCCACCTTAGAAAGGATGGAAGGCTGAGTCAACCTTGAGCCTTGGCGAGATTCGAACCCTGCAGTAATTGCAGGCAGCTGGTCTTAATAAGCTTAATAACAGGGTGCCTTAAACCCCTGTACTACCAAGGGTCTTTTGGGCTCAATTGGGATCGTAAGTCGAGGACTACCTATATAAGAAAGCAGGGACCGTCGGTCGCTGATCCTACCACTGCAGCCTTCACAGGGCACTCTGTACTGGGGGGGCAATGAGAACAGAGCATTGGCTTTTCGGGTGCCCCAGACAATAAACCTACCACCATTGAGTCAAATAAGGACTGCATTTAATAGAGGAAAAGAAAACCCCAATATATTTGATTGAGGAAATTTAAAGGCAGCTGCAAGATTTAGCCTGGCTAGGCTCTGGCCAGGAGGCGGCACCCAATCTCGGCCAAACACAGTCAAACCCAACCGACAACGGAGCCCAAGCAGGTTTTGGCAGACGTGTCCTTCCCCACTTCCTTTCCGGCGACTACAAGGGGAAATCCTCATCGGTCGGGATGTTCAGAACGACGTCCATGTCTGGGGTGCATCTGGGGGGGTGTGAAAGAGAGAAGCAGAGATGAGATTACGAGTATTGATTAGGTAAAACATGGCTCAATAATAGTATAACTGTGAGAGGGATCTTGGAGTCCCAGTAGCTTAAATCTGAGCTAGCCGTGTGCCTTAAAGCCTTAGTAAGGCCACAGCTGGAATCCTGCGTCCACTTTTGGTCCCCACATTACAAAAAAAAGAGGTTGAGAGTTTGGAAACAATTGAGAGGAGAGCAACTGAGCAGCCAAAAAGAAAGAGAGAGGAGGGGGGAGAAGGAGAAGAAGAAAGAAAAGAGAGAGAGAGAGAGAGAGAAAGAAAGAAAGAAGGAAGGAAGGAAGGAAGGAAGGAAGGAAGGAAGGAAGGAAGGAAGGAAGGGAGAGAGAAAGAAAGAAAGAAAGAAAAAGAGAGAGAGAGAGAGAAAGAGAGAAAGAAAGAAAGAAAGAAAAAGAAAGAAAGAAGGAAGAAAGAAAGAAAGAAAGAAAGAAAGAAAGAAAGAAAGAAAGAAAGAAAGAAAGAAAGAAAGAAAGAAAGAAAGAAAGAAGGAAAAGAGCAGCAGCCAAAAAATCTAACACAATTCTTGGTTGTATCAACAGAGGCATAGAATCAAAATCAGGTGAAGTATTAGTACCGCTTTGTAAAGCTTTAGTAAGGCCACACCTGGAATCCTGTGTCCAGTTTTGGACCCCACATTACAAAAAAAAGAGGTTGAGAGTTTGGAAACAATTGAGAGAAGAGCAACTGAGCAGCCAAAAAGAAAGAGAGAGGAGGGGGGAGAAGGAGGAGAAGAAAGAAAAGAAAGAGAGAAGGAAGGAAGGAAGGAAGGGAGAGAGAGAGAGAGAGAGAGAGAGAGAGAGAGAAAGAAAGAAAGAAAGAAAGAGAAAGAAAGAAAGAAAGAAAGAAAGAAAGAAAGAAAGAAAGAAAGAAAGAAAGAAAGAAAGAAAAAAAAAAAAAGAGCAGCAACCAAAAAATATAACACAATTCTTGGTTGTATCAACAGAGGCATAGAATCAAAACCAGGTGAAGTTTTAGTACCGCTTTGTAAAGCCTTAGTAAGGCCCCACCTGGAATCCTGCAACCAATTTTGGTCCCCACATTACAAAAAAGAGGTTGAGAGTTTGGAAAAAGTTCAGAGGAGAGCAACTGAGCAGCCAAAAAGAAAGAGAGAGGAGGTGGGAGAAGGAGAAGAAAGAAAAAGGAAGGAAGGAAGGAAGGAAGGAAGGAAGGAAGGAAGGAAGGAAGGAAGGAAGGAAGGAAGGAAGGAAGAGCAGCAGCCAAAAAAACTAACACAATCCTGGGTTGTATCAACAGAGGCATAGAATCAAAACCAGGTGAAGTTTTAGTACCGTTTTATAAAGCCTTAGTAAGGCCCCACCTGGAATCCTGCAACCAATTTTGGTCCCCACATTACAAAAAAAAAGAGGTTGAGAGTTTGGAAAAAGTTCAGAGAAGAGCAACTAAGAGGATCAAAGGCCTGGAGGCTAAAACATATAAAGAACGGTTGCAGGAATTGGGGTTTGGCTAGTCTAAAGAAAAGAAGAATTAGGGGAGACATGATAGCAGTGGTTGCAGTATTTGAGGGGCTGCCCCAAAGGAGAGTTGGGGGTCAAGCTATTCTCCAAAGCCCCTGAAGGCAGGACAAGAAGCAACGGATGGAAACTAAGCAAGGAGAGAAGCAACCTGGAACTAAGGAGAAACTTCCTAACAGGGACAACAATTAACCAGTGGAACTGCTTGCCACCAGATGTTGTGGATGCTCTGGATGACTGGATAGCCATTTGTCTGAAATGGGATAGTATGAAATGGGGTTGGGCGAGAAGACCTCAAAGGTCCCTTCTAGCACTACTTTGACTGATTGGTTGATTGATTGATTGATTGATCCACACTAAGAAAGGAGGAGAGGTGAAAAGTGCCGAACCCTCCAAAATGCCATCACAAGACCGTGCGGGTCTGGAAGGCAGCCATCGGAACTACGAACTCGGGTCATAAGTACAGGTCGTCCTTGGTTTACGACCGCAATTGAGCCCAACATTTCTCTTGCTAAGCGAGGGAGAGGTGAAGTGAATTTTGACCCGTTTTACGACCTTCCTTGCCGCCGTTGTTAAGTGAATCACTGCAGTTGTTAAGTTAGTAACACGGTTATTAAGTGAATCTGGCTTCCCCGTTGACTTGGCTTGTCGGAAGGTCGCAAAATGGGCATCCCTGCGGCTGTCATAAACATGTCAGTTGCCAGGTGTCTGAATTTTGATCATGTAATTATGCTGCAATGGTCGTTAAGTATGAAAAGTGTCCTTTTTGCAGTGACGTCGTAACTAAGCGAACTGTTGTAAGTCGAGGACTACCTGTATATGTACATTACAGGCCCCTAGTATGCATTATGGGAGGCTTATGCATTATATTCATCACCATCATCATCTTTTAACCCCATAGTCCCTTGCGGAGTGGAGTCTGGGCAACTGAATGGAGCTGAGTGTTTTACTGGCCGGATGCCGTCCCTGTCGCCAGTACGGGGTTTTGTTCAGCAGATATATTCTCAATGTGCCCAGAGAGAGAAACATCTGCCTCTACCTGAGATCGAACTCACAGCCTCCTGATTGTGAGGCTAGAGCTCTACCTCTAGGCCACCGCACCAAACCATGCATTATATTCCTGTTTTTTAAATCCCAGGTTGCCACTGAACCCTTTTCATCGGTCGTAACTTAGAACGGTCGCTAAGTGGCCGGTCGTATATCAAAGACCACCTATATACACTTCTGGGTTTGGTGTTTCTCCCAGCCTCGCCGCACGCAAGTCGCAGAGGTGGGATTCAGATAACTGACCTACCGGTTCGCCCAGCACCGAAAATGTGAGCTTTGCTGACGCGGGCGCCTTCTGCGCACGCGCCCGGACTCAAAAACGTGCCTAAATAGGACAGCATAGAGCCGAGGCAGGTGCGATTTCTGCTACCGGTTCGAGTAAACCGGCTGAATACCACCTCTGGCAACCCGTGCGGCTTCATGAGAAGGAGCGTGAAGGTGCAAAAGGAGGGCAGTACTTGGGCCGGCGCAGAAGGATGTCCGGGAAAATGATGTCGTAGGGGTCCCCCAGGGCGTGGTGCAGGTAAATGATGCTCTCGTGCAGCTCCGTCACTTCTTTCACCAGGTCGTCAATCACCTGAAATGGGAAACAGGGCCAAAGTTTCAGGGGTCCGAACATCTCCTACTCCCCATTGGACCTCCCAGCGCCTCCTGCGTGGAGTTTTCAACACAGCTGGCCTCCAGGGCCCCTCTTTCAGATAGTCCTCGACTTACAATAGCTCATTTAGTGACCAAAGGCACTGAAAAAAGGGATTCCGAACCGTGATCCACACTTATGACCGTCGCATCATTCCCCATGGTCACGTGATCAAAATTCGGACCCTTGGCAACGGACTCCTCTTTATGACGGTCGCAGTGTTTCTTAAGACCTGAACATTGTTAAACGAATCACTGCAGTCGTTAAAAGTTAGTCACAGGGTGATGAAGTGAAAATGGCTTCCTCATTGACTTGGCTGGTCAGACGGTCGCAAAAGGGGATCGCAGGACACGACGACCGTCATAAATACGAGTCGGTTGCCAAGCATCTGAATTTTGACCACGTGACCGTGGGGATGCAGCAACGATCGTAAGGGTGAAAAACAGTCGCAAGTCGCTTTTTTTCGATACCGTTGTAACTTCGAATGGTCACTAAATGAACTGTCGTAAGTCGAGGACTACTTGTCTAGCACAGACCTCAATTCAGGATTTCTCTTTTGTCATCTATACGTAACAGTTTCTAGCGGCCACGAAACCTCTCCTGGAAGGTTATCCTGCTGTGGGATAGGGAGCCACCAGGTGATCAAGAGGAGAAATTTCTAACCAGCCCTGACATCAGCTCAGTTCTTTGCCAAGTCTACAGACTGCAATTCCCAGATTTTCTTGCCTCCTTTTGCACGTCTATCTGTCTTCTCAATTCCTTGTTGTTCCGGTGCATCTGCTCCAGACCGTCCTGATACTGAAGCAGCGTCTTCTAGAACGACAAAAAAAGGAGGACAAAATTAAGGCCGTAATTCAACGTAGAGGAAATTAAAGCCTTACACTTAGGCAAGAAAACCCAAAAGTCCACATATAAACTGGGGGAAACCAGGCTTAATAGCAGGAACCGGGAGAGGGATCTTGGAGTCTTAGTGGACAACCAGTTAAATAGGAGCTAGCAGTGTGCGGTGGCAGCCAAAAAAGCCAATGCCATCCTAAATTGCATTAACAGAGGGATTCAATCAAGATCAAGGGAGGTACTAATACCACTCTATTAAGCCTTAGTAAGGCCACACCTAGAGTACTGCATTCAATTTTGGTCACCACACTATAAAAAGGATGCTGAGACTCTGGAAAGAGTGTAGAGAAGAGCAACCAAGAGGATTAGAGGACTGGAGGCTAAAACATACGATGAACGGTTGCAGGAACTGGGCCTGGCTAGTCTAGTGAAGAGAAGGACCAGGGGAGACAGGAGAGCATCTTCCAATATTGGAGGGGCTGCCCCAGAGAGGAGGAAGGGGGTCAAGCTATTCTCCAAAGCACCTGAAGGCCAGACAAGGAATAATGGATGGAAACTGAGCAAGGAGAGATTCAACCTGGAAATAAGGAGGAATTTTTTGACAGTGAGAACAATCAACCCATGGAACAGAAGTTGCCTTCAGAAGTTGTGGGAGCTTCATCACTGGAGGCTTTCAAGAAGAGACTGGACTGCCATCAATCAGAAATGGTGTGGGGTCTACTCAGGAGTGAAATCCAGCAGGTTCTGGCAGGTTCTAGAGAACCAGTAGCAGAAATCTTGAGCAGTACGGAGAACCGGCAAATACCACCTCTGGCTGGCCCCAGAGTTGGGTGGGAATGGAGATTTTGCAGTATCCTTCCCCTGCCACGCCCACCAAGCCACACCCACAGAACCGGTAGTAAAAATTTTTGAATTTCACCACTGTGCAGGAGGCTTTCCAGGCCCGCAAAGGGGCATGGGGGGGGGGCGGTGAAGGCAGGACACATGCGCGAGGGACGCATGCATGGGGGAGGGGCGCATGTGCAGGGGACGCTCGCATTGCATTTTAGGGGTTTCGGCCATGCGCTGATGGACAACCCCGTTCCGAACAAATGGCTGCCCAGTCTCTCCCCTCCAGTCTGTAAGAACTGAAAAAACTTCCTTCCAGCAATGGGAACAGATTTGGTTGAAAAATATGAAATTAACTATGGCTTCTTCATACAAAGAAAACATATATAAAATGGTCTACCGGTGGCATCTCCCCCCGGCGAGACTAGCTAAAATATTTCCCGGGACATTTGCCTGCTGTTGGAAGTGCGGTTACAGTAATGGAACTTATTTTCACCAATGGTGGACCGGCCCGCAGGCGGTAAATATTGGGAAGAAATGGATTTTGGAAATTACACAGATTAATTTGGAATTAAGGCCCGAGATTTTCCTATTGGGGGCAAAACCTTTGAACGTTAAATCAGATATATGGTTCTTGTTGATTCACATTATCACTGCAGCAAGATTAGCGTATGCGCAGGAGTGGAAAAATCAATACTTACCGATGGATTTGAAAATAATCTATAAAATGAATTGAGTGTGCGGAATCAGATCGATGAACTAGATTGATCAATGGTTAAAAAAGATTCCGAATTTTATAACGGTTGGAAAGTATGGTACGATTGGGTCCAGAAAAGGTGGGAGAGAATAGATATATGATGATGTATATATATATATATATATATGATGGCAAATATGTATGTATAAAGGAATGACTTTATATTTATGGACCATGTAATCACATTATACCATGGTGGCAGGATTGTATATTTTATTTGTGTATTGGTGTATAGAATATATTAATAAAAATTATTGTAAAAAAAAAAGAAGAAGAAGCTTCCTGGGATGAGAAGAGAAATGTTTTCAAAGGGGGAAAAAAAAAAAAAGGATGAAGCCCTTTGGGGCTAGTCAGAGCGATTCCACTCACATCGGCCACAGACCGCAGAATGCGCTCCTGTTCGTCCCTGGCTTTTCCCGCTAAGGTGTCCAGGAAGCGCCTGGCCAGATCTTCAGTGTCTTCCAATTCGTACTGGAGAAGGCAGAACAGCAGAAAGGGAAGGGGGGAGGTCTTTAAAGAAGGGTCCGAGGACTGCAAGACACCACCCCCCACCTCACCCCCACCCTTGGGACAGGGGCCTGGGAAGGACATCCACCCCCCCTACACCCCCTCCCTCCCGCCCACCTGTTGCTCCTCATTCAGGTTCCGGATGCTGCGGAGCAGGGAGGCGATCTGGACCGCCTTCAGCGGGTACTCCTTGTCCATGTAGCTCCGCAAGACGTTGACCTCTTCCTGCATGGTGTGGACTTTGGTGCCGACCCGTTTCAGCTCCTGGTCCATTTCTGAAAGAAAAGAGAAGAGAACCTCGATGGTCACTTTCTTTTTTGACCGGGAACAGAAAATATTCTGATGCCCGATCTCAAAAAAAAAAAACCAAAATAAAATATATCATAGCAATAGCGCTCAGATTTGCTGTATATACCGCTTCCCAGTGCTTTTACAGCCCTCTCTGAGCAGTTTACAGAGTCAGCACATGGCCCCCCCACAATAGTCTGGGTCCTCATTTTAACCTACCTCGGAAGGACGGTGAGAATCAAACTGCTGGCAGTTGGCTGTGAGTTAGCCTGAAATACTGGCTTCTAACCACTGCACTACCAGATATAGAATAGGTGACAGATAGATAGATAGATAGATAGATAGATAGATAGATAGATAGATAGATAGATAGATAGATATAAAAAAGTTCCACAATTCGCAGTATGTCTGCATCTTTTTTTTACTAATATACCTGGAACTCGTATTTTTAGAATAGTTTGTAATAGATAATGATATAGATATAGATAATAGATAGATAGATAATGATAGATTGATAGATGATAGATTGATAGATAATGATAGATAGATAGATAATAGATAGATAGATAGATAGATAGATAGATATAAAAAAGTTCCACAATTCGCAGTATGTCTGCTTCTTTTTTTTACTAATATACCTGGAACTCGTATTTTTAGAATAGTTTGTAATAGATAATGATACAGATATAGATAATAGATAGATAGATAATGATATAGATATAGATGATTGATAGATTGATAGATAGATAGATAGATAGATAGATAGATAGATAGATAGATAGATAGATAGATAGATAGATAGATAGATATAGATAATAGGTAGGTAGGTAGGTAGGTAGGTAGGTAAATAGATAGATAGATAGATAGATAGATAGATAGATAGATAGATAGATAGATAGATAGATAGATAGATATAGATGATAGATAGATAGATAGATAGATAGATAATAGATAGATAGATAGATAAATATAGATAATAGATAGATAGATAGATAGATATAGATAATAGATAGATAGATATAGATAATAAATAGATAGATGATAGATAGATAGATAGATAGATAAATATAGATAATAGATAGATAGATAGATAGATAGATATAGATAATAGATAGATAGATAGATAGATATAGATAATAGATAGATAGATAGATATAGATAATAAATAGATAGATAGATAGATAGATAGATAGATAGATAGATAGATAGATAGATAGATAGATAGAGATATGGATAGTTGGATGGATGGATGGATGGATAATTGCAAGGACCAGTCATGGCTCCCTTTTTCCAAGGCGGCTATAACCAAACGGTCACTAAACAAATAGTTTTAAGTCAAGGTATTCTGACCCAGCTCCCCAAACACGACAAACCCTCTGAAGTGAACTTAAAAGATTCCTTTATTAGGAGCGCCGGCAGCCCCGGTATCAAGTTTCTCTCGCAGACCGACAAGTCCGTCCAGCCGGAAGACGAATATTTGTCTGCCATGTCTATTCATCTCCGCCTGCTGCCTTTTATCCCCAGAGCTAGGGTGGGGCTTCACTAGCAGCGGTGGCTCTTCCGTCCCAAGAACCGGCCCATAGATTTCCACTGCTCTCCTCTCCTCTGCCTTCTGAGCATCAGGCCCCCTCCTCCTCCTCCTCCTCTGATTTGGTTGCTGGAGGGGCTGGCAGCCAACAGGCCACAACAAAAGGGCTACCTGTACATTTACCTATACATTAAGAGGAGGTGCTTGATAAGCAACCTGGCCACAATGTACTACTCCTTCCTTGGGGATTTGAAAACCGTGGCGCTCTCTTCTGCCCAGCCCCACCCCACCCAGGTGAGGAGGAGAGGCGGGCACCGCTTACTCGCCATTTTCTTCTCCACTTCCTTCTCCGCGGCGTTGAGCTCTGCTTTGGCGACGCCCACTTGGTTCTGATTGGAGTCTCGGAGAGTGGCGATGATCCGCTGTGGGATTTGAAGCGACAAGAGTACGATTAGCCAGGGGAACTGCTCGCCACTAGAAGCTGTGGGGTGCTCCATCCCTGGAGGTTTTCAAGAAGAGACCGGACGGCCACCTGTCTGAGCTGGTCTAGGGTCTCCTGCTCGATGACTGAGAGAGGGCAAGCAGTCCTACTAACTCCAAATGTCTGTACTGGCACACCAAACTCGACCAACTCAGTGTTCGTTCCCGACAAATGCCCCTCCCCACAGCGTCTCCTTAAGTCTCAGTCCCCAGGTGTGCCCTGTGAAGAGGGACGGAGCACTCTCCTCCCGAGTCATCAGATCGGCCTGCGCTGTTCCCGCCTTCTCTCCACTCTCCGTGCTCGGGATCAGGAGGGGCGGTCCTTGCTCAGCGCCTGAGCTCCGTCGCTCCTCCTCGTTTCCACTGCTTGCCCTCTCTCGGTCATCCTGCCCCTGTTCCTCCCTGCTAACAAGGCGTCCCAATCCTGAGGGACCCTGCGCTGCCTGGTCCTGCTCCTCCCCACGTTCCTCTGAAGCCAACGAAGCCGCCCCCTCGATCTCCGCAGATTCAGGCTCCGACAGGAGAGCATGACACACTACAAAGAGGATTAAAGGACTGGAGGCTAAACTATACGGCGAGTGGTTGCAGGAATTGGGTATGTCTGGTCTAAGAAAGAGAAGGACGAGTGGAGACATGATAGCATCTTCCCATGTTTGAGGGGCTGTCACAGAGAAGAGGGGGAGGGGTGTCAACCCATTCTCCAAAGACACCTGAAGGCAGGACAAGAAGCAACGGATGGGAACTTTCCAAGGAGAGATCCAACCTACAATTCAAATTTCCTGACAGTGAGAGCAATTCATCAGCGGAACAGCTTGCCACCAGAAGTTGTGGGTGCTTCATCAAAGGAGGTTTTAAAGAAGAGATTGGACAGCCGTTTGTCTGAAATGGTAGAAGGTCTCCCGCTTGAGCAGGAGGTTGGACTAAAAGAGCTACCAGGTCTCTTCCAAATCTGTTATTCTATTCCATTCCATTTTATTCTACCTTCCTTCCTTCCTTCCTTTTTATTTCTGTCTTTCTTTCTTTCTTTCCCTCCCTCCCTTTCTCTTTCCCTCCTTCCCTCCCTCCCTTCTTTCTTTCCTTCTTTCTTTTTCCTCCCTCCCTCCCTTCTTTTTCTTTCTTTCTTTCCTTCCTTCTTTCTTTTTCTTTTCCTTTCTTTCCCTCCTTCCCTCCCTTCTTTCTCTTTCCTTCTTTTCCTCCCTCCCTTCTTTTTCTCTTTCTTTCCTTCCCTCCCTTCTTTCTTTCCTTCTTTCTTTTTCCTCCCTCCCTCCCTTCTTTTTCTTTCTTTCTTTCTTTCCTTCTTTCTTTTTATTTTTCTCTTTTCCTTTCTTTCCCTCCCTCCCTCCTTTCTTTCCCTCCTTCCCTCCCTTCTTTCTCTTGCCTTCTTTCTTTTTCCTCCCTCCCTCTCTTCTCTTTCTTTCTTTCTTTCTTTCTTTCCTTTTTCTTTTTCTTTTCTTTCCCTCTCTCCCTCCTTTCTTTCCCTCCCTCCTTCCCCCTTCTTTCTCTTTCCTTCTTTTTCCTCCCTCCCTCCCTTCTTTCTTCTTTCTTTCTCTTTCTTTCTTTCTTTCTCCTTTTTCTTTTTCCTTTCTTTCCCTCTCTCCCTCTTTCTTTCCCTCCCTTCTTTCTCTTTCCTTCTTTCTTTCCCTCCCTCCCTCCCTTTCCTTCTTTCTTTTTTCCTCCCTCCCTCCCTTCTTTTTCTTTTTCTTTCTTTCTTTCCTTCCTTCTTTTTCTTTTCCTTTTTTTCTTTCCCTCCCTCTTTCTTTCCCTCCTTCCTTCCCTCCCTTCTTTCTTTCCTTCTTTCTTTTTCCTCCCTCCCTCCCTTCTTTTCTTTCTTTCTTTCTTTCTTTTTCTCTCTTCCCCTCCCTCCCTCCCTTCTTTCTTTCTTTCTGAATAACAAGAGTCGAAAGGGACCTTGGAGGTCTTCTAGTCCAACCCTCTGTTCAAGCAGGAGGAGACCCTATGCCATTTCAGACAAAAATGGTTGCCTTTTCTCAAGAAACAGGCTGTTCCGGTGGACCCCAGAGCGCCAATCCCTCGCTGTGTGGCGAAGGCCCCCAACGGCCCGTGGACTCCCCGTGGCCCACAGCCTGGTTCCGCTGCTCCCGCTTGCCCTTCCCAGGCAGCCTCACCCCAAACATGTCGTACTGCTGCAGGAGGGACCTGGCCTGGTTGGCCGAATCCGTTTCCGTCTCCTGGATGGTCTCCATCAGGTCCTTATTCTTCTCCAGGAGCACCACGGAATGGCGCCTCAATTCTTCCAGGCTGGCCGTCTTGCTCTTCGAAAGCCGCTAAGGTGGTTTTTGGGGGGGGGGGCGGGAGAAAAAAAGGGGGTGACAGTAGGGGCAGCGGTCCTCTGCCGCTGCCACTTTAAAAATGTGGGGACTTCAACTCTCGGAATTCTGGGAATGGAAATCCTGCCACCTTTCAAGATTTTCCAGGTTAAGAAACTCTGGATGACGAAACAGCTCCATTGGCCATCCCGATCGGCCATCAGATGGAAGGAGACCCCAAGTCCCAGAATGGGGAATTCCCACCTAGCTTCCCCCTTTCCTTCCTTCCTTCCTTCCTTCCTTCCTTTTCCCTCCTTCCCTTCCTCCCTCCCCCTTTCCTTCCTTTTTCTTCCTTCCTTTCTTCCCTCTTCCTTCCTTTCTTTCTCCTTCCCTCCCTTCCTTCTCCCCTCCTCCCTCCCCTTTCCTTCCTTCCTTCCTTCCCTCCCTCTTCCTTCCTTCCTTCCTTTTCCCTCCTTCCTCCTTCCCTCCCTCCCTCTTTCCTTCCTTCCTTCCCTCTTCCTTCCTTTCTTCCTCCTTCCCTCCCTTCCTTCTCCCCTCCTCCCTCCCCCTTTCCTTCCTTCCTTCTTCCTTCCTTTTCCCTCCTTCCTCCTTCCCTCCCTCCCTCTTTCCTTCCTTCCTTCCTTCCCTCTTCCTTCCTTTCTTCCTCCTTCCCTCCCTTCCTTCTCCCCTCCTCCCTCCCTTTCCTTCCTTCCTCCTTCCTTTTCCCTCCTTCCTCCTTCCCTCCCTTCCTCCCCTTTCTTTCCTTCCTTCCTTCCCTCTTCCTTCCTTCCTCCTTCCCTCCCTCCCTTCCTTCTCCCCTCCTCCCTCTCCCTTTCCTTCCTTCCTTCCTTCTTCCTTTCTTCTCTTCTTCCTTCCATAAGATCAACCTTCCTACCTAGTTTCCTCCTTTCTTCCTTTTTCCCTCCCTCCCCCTTTCTTTGCTTCCTTCCTTCTCCCCTCCTCCCGGCCTTCCTTTCTTCCTCAAGATCAACCTTCCTTCCTCCTTCCCTTCCTCCCTCCCTCCCCCCTCCCCCTTTCCTTCCTTCCTTCTTCCTTTCTTCTCTTCTTCCTTCCATAAGATCAACCTTCCTGCCTAGTTTCCTCCTTTTCCCTCCCTCCCCCTTTCTTTTCTTCCTTGCTTCCCCACTCCTCCCCTTTTTTTCCTTCCTCCTTCCTTCCCTCCTCCCTTCCTTCCTCAAGATCAACCTCCCTCCTTCCCTCCCTCTGTCTTTCCCTCCCTCTCTCCTTTATCTTTCTCAACCTGCCCATCTCAGCCAAGTCGTCCTGAGTGGCTTAACAATTCTAAAATCCCTGTTTCTCCAGGTGTGATCCATTTGCCCTTCGGTTCCAGAACATAATAAGGGGGTCTGATCCCCCAATTTGAGACCCTTCTGGTCTCAAACTCCTGGTGAACACCATGTGAAACCTAGACTCCCAGCCAGGAAAGAATGGGGCCCGAGGGAGACCCCCCCCCCCTCCAGCCCTGTTTCCAGGGGCTCTTTCCTTCAGGTACCTGCAGAATTTTGATGTTGGCCTTGGCCATTTCTTCGGTCAGGGCTTGGTGCCACCCCACCTTGTGCCTCATGGACGGGGTGGCCTTCAGGGCCACGCTCCAGACCTTTCGCTCCTCTAGAAAGAGAAGAGAAGTGGGGGGACCTGAGGCCGCTGCTCGGAGGACAGCGGGTCAGGGAAGGCGGGCGCAGGAGATTCTGGACCAAAAATATTGAACGTTTTGTCTAGTGGGGAAGGCACCAGGCTGGAAAGCAGGAGGTGGGGAGTTCTAGTCTGAAAGCCAGCCGGTGACTTTGGCCAATCACCCAGGGACTGTGAGATAATTTCTATCTGTCTGTCTTTCTCCTTCCTTCCTTCCTTTTCCCTCCCTCCCCTCCTTCCTTCTCTTGCTTCCTTTCTTTTCTTTTTCTTTTTTTTTCTTCCTCCTTTTTTCTCTTCTTTTTCTTCCTTTTTCTTTCCTTCCTTCCTTCATATTTCTTTTCCTTCATTCCTTTCCCCTCCTCTCTCCCTTCCTTTACTTCCATCCTTCTCTCTTTCCTTCATCTTTTTCTTTTTCCTTCCCTTCCTTCCTTTCCTCCCTCCCCCCTTCCTTCTCTTGCTTCCTTTCTCTTCTTTTTCTTTTTTCTTCCTCCTTTTTTCTTCTTTTTCTTCTTTTTCTTCCTTTTTCTTTCCTTCCTTCACATTTCTTTTCCTTCATTCCTTTCCCCTCCCTCTCTTCCTTCCTTTACTTCCATCCTTCTCTCTTTCCTTCATCTTTCTCTTTTTCCTTCCCTTCCTCCCTTTTCCCTCCCTCCCCTCCTTCCTTCTCTTGCTTCCTTTCTCTTCTTTTTCTTTTTTTCTTCCTCCTTTTTTCTCTTTTTTTTCTTTTTTCTTTCCTTCCTTCATATTTATTTTCCTTCATTCCTTTCCCCTCCCTCTCTCCCTTCCTTTACTTCCATCCTTCTCTCTTTCCTTCATCTTTTTCTCTTTTTCCTTCCCTTCCTTCCTTTTCCCTCCCTCCCCTCCATCCTTCTCTTGCTTCCTCTTTTTTCCCCTCCTTCCTTCCTTTTTTATTCCTTCTTTCCTTCTCTTCTCTTCTCTTCTCTCTTCTCTTTCTCTCTCTCTCTCTGTCCCGCTAACAAGCCACACAGTTTCCTAAGCAGAGGGTCAGTGGTGCAGGCTCTTGCCTCCTTCCTGACAGAAAACAACCGATTCAAAATCACCCAACTGGTTTCGGGGTTTAAGGCAGGACTTGAACTCAGGTTCCTCTCTTCCACTAAACCAAACTGCACCGCCCTTCCCCTACTTAGAAGAAGGATCCTCTCAATGATAGCATGGGCTAAAAATATTGGACACAACATTGAGTTAGAAGATTGGGAAAAAAATTGGGAGAAAAATTATACATTAACAAAATGAACCGCATATAAAGAAAATCAGTATAAAATGTTCTATCGGTGGCATCTAGCCCCACAAGACTTGCAAAAATGTACCCCAACCTAAAACCTAATTGCTGGAAATGTAAACAAGCACAAGGTACCTACTTCCATGTATGGTGGCTTTGCCCAGAAGTCAAAAAATACTGGATGAAAATACAAAAATGGCTAAAATAAATCACACACTGTCAAATAGAATTGAAACCTGAATTGTTTCTTCTGGGGATCATTAAAGGAAATTATCCTAAAAGGATTAAATATCTGATTATTCATATTACTACAGCAGCGAGAATCGTGGAAAAAGCCTGGAAAATGTCCATTATACCAACAGACTGTGTAATAATCCGGAAAATTTTTGAGTGTGCAGAAATGGACAAACTTACTATAGAATTAAATAATAAGGAAGACTCGGAATACTACTCAACTTCGGAAAATTGGTATCAATGGATAGAAATTAAAAATAGGAAATGTATAGAATAAAATAAGATATAAATTGTGTTTACATATGTCTGATTAAATAGGAATATTTGGGATTATATGAACAAAGTTAAGAATTGTGCACTGTCAAAATGATGTTAGATTGTACAATTATTACAGATATATTTTTGTCATAGATGTATTTGTACTTGTATTTTAATATTTTAAATGTTAATAAAGGTTTATAAAAAAAAGAAAGAAGAAGGATCCTCTCAGCCTCTCCTTACAGGAAGAACCGTTCCTTTCCTTTCTGTCTGGGAGGACAGAAAGTTCGAAGATGCTTTCTACCCAGGACGTTTTATCCTTGCTAGTTCTTTTTGGACTTTCAGCCTCTTGAGTATCTCTGAGTGGCCTTCTTTTCACTCAGCCACAAGTGAACTCTATCAAAAAGGAAAGACTGGAAATGACTTCCCCCCGCGCCCCCTTGCAGGCCAGACTACGCCAGCCAAACTCTTTTCCCACCTGATTTCTTGGGTTGTATTTTCTGCAGGAATTTGTTTCCCTCCTTCTTCATCCCTGGAGGCAACGGGGGTGGCAGGAGTAATCTTAATTTGGGCCTTCTTGGCACCTCTTCCCTTTCCCATTGGCTGTAATCCTAAATCCCAGAGGAGAAAGAGGCAGACAAGCAATGCATCTTCATTAAAACAATGGGCTTTAAAACTTGACGAAAATCAGCAAATGAGACACACATACAAGCATGGATTTTCCCAGTCTCTTTGGAAATGAATGGAAGCCTGAAAGTCCTCGATTTGCGTTCACTATTGAGGCCAAAATTTCCGTTGCTAAGTGAGACATTGGTAAAAGTGAACTGTGCTCCATTGATGCTCTTTCTTACCACATTTGTTAACTGAAGCATAGCAGTTGTTAAGTTAGGAACACAGTTGTTGGGGGTTTTTTTGTAAATGTTTTTTTATTTTTTACACAAACAAACAAACAATGCATTTTTTCTGAACAGAGTATTGGCCGAGTCACAAATTTATACAATTTTTAGTTATCTCCAACACAATTTATATATTTCACTTTTTGCCATAATAATCTTTCTCTCTAATTTTTATTTTCTTTTCCTTGTTTCTTCTAATAACCAATATTACCATTCGCCCTAATCTCTAATCTTAATCCAATTTAATTCTTTCCCTTACTTTCTCCAAGTTAAAACCCTTAAATTTGAAATCAATCATTTTTCTAATAGTTAACCTTAACTCTAAATCATCCTATTCAAATATTTCCCCTTTGCGTCCTTTTCACAACATAATATAATTTCCAGTATTTCCCTAAATTCCCTTATTCCAATCACAAATATTTTTCTTTGTCAACTTTTTTTTTTTAAAATTTGATTTATATGCTGCCCTTCTCCGGAGACTCAGGGCGGCTTACAATGCGTTAAGCAATAGCCTTCATACTTTTGTATATTTATACAAAGTCAGCTTATTGCCCCCACAAACTGGGTCCTCATTTTACCCACCTTAGAAAGGATGGAAGGCTGAGTCAACCTTGAGTCTTGGGGAGATTCGAACTTACAGTAATTGCAGACAGTTGGTGTTAATCACAATGCTTTTAGTCTGCTGAACAACCAGGCCCTTATCCAAATATTACAATCCAATATCTTACTTAAATCACTTAAATATATAACAGGACAACCATTCATTTCTTTTCCATTGCTTTTTCAAATATATATTATATTTGTTAGTTAGGAACACAGTTCTTAACTGCAGTGGCGCAGTGGTGAGAGTGCAGTACTGCAGGCTACTTCTGCTGACTGCTGGCTGCCTGCAATTTGGCAGATCGAATCTCACCAGGCTCAAGGTCGACTCAGCCTTCCCTCCTTCCGAGGTCGGTAAAATGAGGACCCAGATTGTAGGGGGCAAGAGCCTGACTCTGTAAACCCCTTAGAGAAGGCTGCAAAGCACTGGGAAGCGGTATATAAGTCTAAGGGCTATTGCTATTGCTAACATCATCAGGGCTAGTGCTGATGCTGTGATAGGTAATTAGGGTTGATCAGTGCTAAGTAGCTAGCCCTGATGATGTTACCTAACTTGGCTAATGAAACGTCTGAAAGAAAATAATCAAGAAGTGAATGTGGTTCGTGGTGGTGGAGGGGGAGGAGGAGGAGGAGGAGGAGGAGGAGGAGGAGGAGGAGGAGGAGGAGGAGGAGGAGGAGGAGGACTGTGGGGTCCTTGGTGCTCTCTGAGCTTAGTGGTTTTCTTGCAGCAAGTGTTTGATTACCCAAACTAGTAACACTGATGATATTACCTATTTGGATCATGAAATGTCTGCAAGAAAACAACCAAGCCCAGGGCGTACCAAGGAAGGACTCCACAGTTCTTCTCCTCCTCCTCCCTTCTAGCATGGATGATGTTCCCTAGTTGGGTCGTGAAATGTCTGCAAGAAAACAACCAAGCTCAGAGACCACCACAGATCACCCATGTCTATACTCCCACCTATTATATCTCTGAGAAATATCTGCTTAAAATAATCTTGTCATCCACCCACATACCAGCATAGCATGGAAATAATATTCAGTTTGACATGGAAAGCCAATTCCCTCCAGCAACCTTCTGCTTAAACATACATATTTTCTTTTTAGGTAACGTTAATAATATGGATTTGTGCACAGCTGTTCCATTTTATTACTTACTCAGTAAAGAATACAAAAAATACGATTTGGATCTTTTAAACCGTACTGCTTCCTTTTGCAAAATTCCTATTCTATTCTATTCTATTTTCTATTCTATTCTATTCTATTCTATTCTATTCTATTCTATTCTATTCTATTCTATTCTATTCTGTTCTGTTCTCTATTCTATTCTCTATTCTATTCTATTCATTCTATTCATTCTATTCTATTTTCTATTCTATTCTATTCTGTTCTCTATTCTATTCTCTATTCTATTCTATTCATTCTATTCTATCTATTCTATTTTCTATTCTATTCTATTTTATTCTCTATTCTATTCTATTTTATTCTCTATTCTATTCTATTCTATTCTATTCTATTCTCTATTCTATTCTTTTCTTTTCTTTTCTTTTCTTTGCAGAACTCACCGTTTGGTTTAAGGAACTGATAAAACTCTTGGGAAACAAACTTGGATTCCTGGACGACATTTTTGCAGCCAGGGAAAAGCCGTGCGAGAGGAAATGTCAGCACCTGGAGGGACCAAGAATTATATACAGAATATATATAAAAAGAAATGGACAAGGGAAGAGAGATCTTGAAGATCCATTGCCGTCAAATCTTGCAAAACGTAGTGTTCTTGTCTCTGTAAAATGATTTTTTTTTCCCCAGAGGAAAAATAAATGATTTGAAATAACATTTTGAGAGATCCTGATGACCTCAAACCATTATTTTATTATCTTAATATTGTTCATGATGGAATATTTATAGGCTGCCCCACCTTTCTAGCTTCAGAGAGGCTCCCAATAATATAGCTTTAAATATTAAAGCAGTGTTAGCTTTTATACGCCGCTCACTTTGTTATGTATGTGATGGGTTTTGCAAGCTGCCCAAAGTCATGTCTTAATTAAAATAAATGACATTAAATTTAAATTTAAGAAACCCTTGGAAGGGAGGAAGCAAAAGCTACCCCCCCACCATCACCAAGGAAAAGACAGGAGCACAAATGTGAGCCAGGATTTTATTCCAGTTGTATTTATTTTATTCATCTAGGTGGAGAAATGTTAATATCCTTAGCTAGTCTATGTATGATATGCCATACGCTAAATAAAATAATAAAATGCAATGCAATGCAATAAATAATAAAATATAAAATAAAATAATAAAATATAAAATAATAAAATTAAACTAAAATATAAAATAAAATAATAAAATGTAAAATAAAATATAAAATAAAATACTAAAATATAAAATAAAATAAAATAAAATACTAAAATATAAAATAAAATAAAATAATAAAAATAAAAATAAAACAAAAAAAAAATGCCAGGGATAGGTCTCAATTTAGGTTCCCCCCCACCCGCACGGAGGACCTGAGGGACGGAGCAGTCACTACCCGGAAACCTCTGCCGTTTGGTTTCCTGGGGGTAGACTGCGCCCGTCGCTGGAGGCTCCATTTAAGATGAGCCAACCCCCTTTACCTGCTTCGCGCGCACGTGTGTCTCCCCGTCTCCTAGCAACGCAGCGCGCGCTCATCTCCATGGCGACCCGGAGGACCTACGGAAGCCCCGCAGGCCCAAGCATCACCCCGCCCTTCGCTCTGCTGATCCCTCCCGTCGTCGTCGTCGTCGTCCCCGCCCCTTGAAGGTCGACCCCCACAACGCCCGTTCTTTCCATTGGGCCGCTTCCATGCCACGAAGGCCCCGCCTCCCGGCTTCTCTTGCGCGTGCGCAGGTCTTTCGTTGGACATCCTTTCCTGGCTTGGAGCGCCTCTATCGCCAACCTGGCGCCCCCCAGCCAAATGAGTTGACTTGCGCTTCCCATCAATGCTCTCCGGATTATTGATTGCAGTTATTGGATAATATATTTACCAGAGGAAGACGGGCCAGTTAAGGCGCAGTATCTACTCAATCTTGGGTGGAGAAGCTGCGACCTAAAGAGAGTTGGATAGGAGACCACGAGGAAATCACGGGGGAAACCAGAATGGAAAGTCCAGAAATCATTTCAAAAGGAACAAACTTTTTTTCTGCTGCCAATAAAACCAAATGGAATAAAGAGAAAATCCTAACTTACTTCCTCCCCATCTCCTAACTGTAGCTTTTGACTATAATTCTATTTTATTATATATATTATATATCATATTTATTATATTTCTATACCGCCTTTCTCCCATAGGACTCAAGGCTGCGTACAGTCAAGAAAAATATAGATACACAAACATCATAAAATTGCTAATTAAAATTATTATTATAACATAGTTTGGCCCAATTAAATATTTTATTGTTTTTAGAAATATTCATCTTTTGTGGTTTTATTGCTTTTAATTATTGTAAGCGACCCAGAGCTGCTTCGAAGCCAGATGGCAGCAAGCAAATATAGATAGATAGATAGATAGATAGATAGATAGATAGATAGATAGATAGAATTCTTTATTAGCCAAGTTTGATTGGACACACAAGGAATTTGTCTTTGGTGCATACGCTCTCGGTGTACATAAAAAGTAAAAAAGATACGTTCATCAAGAACCATAAGGTACAACACTTAATGATAGTTATAGGGTACAAATAAGCAATCAAATCATATTAGGAAACAATATAAATCATACAGCAACAAATTACAGTCATACAATAAGTGGGAGGTGATAGGAACGATGAGATTAATAGCGATCTTATATAAGATAATATGATCAATAAGTAATTAAATAAATCAATAAAAGCAGAACCCCAATTGTTGCCTTGGAGCTCAGGCACCCCAAGTTTGGCATGGAGCCACTAAGTGGGTCTCTGAATTTGAGAGAGACACTTTGACCTTTGCAAAGGGATTTATTTGCCCACGCCAAACCACCAAATAATTCATGCAAAATATAAGTCTTTAGGGTACAGAAGCTTATGATATGAGCTAGAAAGCAACACATCATGATACATTAACTGGTGTAAGAAAAGACAGCCGCCCTTAAAATATTTTGCATTTTTCCCCTTTTCCATCTTGGCTTATTTCTTTAACATCACTGAAGGACCCCAGAATAAGCTCCCATTGTTTAATTAATGAATAGGCTAGGTTTTGCATATTAAAGAGAGGAAAAATGGCTTTGGCTAAAAGAGAAAACACGGTTTCCTGAACTTGTAAGGGAGTCATGGGATGCCTTGCTAAAATGCTGATATCTCCTTTATTCAAAGGATAATGAACAAAAAAATCTCCCTTTTTACCTTTTAATCTCTTAATTTGGGTTAATAATGAACCTTAAAATTTCAAGTAACAATATGATCCTGTTTTATGTGAAATCTTCGAATGATTGAAGGGTAAATTGATCATCTGGTGAAAAAAAAAAAGATGGGAAATAAAAAGAAGATGGAAAGAAAAAGGTTTAACTTTTTAATCATTTGCTTTAATGGAACATAGAATAATAGAGTTGGAATGGACCTTGGAGGTCTTCTGATCCAACCCCCTGCTCAAAGAGGAGACCCTGCCCCATTCCAGACAAGGAGCTGTCCAGTCTCTTCTTGAAAGCCTTCAGTGATGGATCACCCACAACTTCTGGTGGCAAGTTGTTCCACTGATTGTTTGCACAATAAATTTTTCCTTAGTTCTAGGTTGCTTCTCTCCTTGATTAGTTTCCATCCATTGCTTCTTGTCCTGCCTTCAGGGGCTTTGGAGAACAAGCTGACCCCCTCCTCTTTGTGGCAGCCCCTCAAATCCTGGAACACTGCTATGATGTCAACCTAGCACTTCTCGTCATTAAGCCATGGGACAGACCCAAGTCCTGCAACCGTTCATCATATGTTTTTGCCTCCATTCCCCTTAGCAGAGGAGGGGTCCTTGCCCTGAGATGCTAAAGCTGTTTGAGTTTGAGGAGGGGTCCTTGCACTGAGATATTTAAGGCGGTTTGGACAAGCCAGGAGTCTAAAGCCATCTGCTTGCAAACATGCCTGGAGCCAACTCAGATGGTCCTTATTGCTATGCAGATCAATTTGGCCTTCTCTGCTGATTGGTGGGTGGGGGGTCAGTCTAGCAGGAAATTTGGGAGGAAAAGAGAAGTTTGGTGAAGAGAGAGCAAAGGCAGCATTAGGAGGATGCAGAAGCTTCTGCTCACCCATCATCACCCAATAGATGCCCCCTTCCCCAGGAGTGGCAGCTAAGAGGAGCTTCAGGTCACAAATATCAGGCCCAGGAGATAAGAGCAGACCAGAAAAACTGATCTATAGGAAGGCTAGAAGTTGAGATTGGCTCTGATAAAAGAATCTTGCAGATCAGATTTTGCTTAATAAATTACCACTTCCTCCTCCTCTTTCTTCTCTACCACTTCTTCTTCTTCTTCTTCCCCTTCCTCCTCCTCACCATAAACACTACTCTCTTTCAATACTGATGATATTACCTAGTTGGGTCATGAAACGTCTGGAAGAAAAGCACCAAGCTCAGAGGCCCTACAGTCCAACTCTTCTTCTTCTTCTTCTTCTTCTTCTTCTTCTTCTTCTTCTTCTTCTTCTTCTTCTTCTTCTTCTTCTTCTTCCTCTTCCTCTTCCTCTTCCTCTTCCTCTTCCTCTTCCTCTTCCTCTCCTTCTCCTTCTCCTTCTCCTTCTCCTTCTCCTCCTCCTCCTCCTCTTCTCCTTTCTCTCATCTTTTTCTTGTCTTCCTCTTCCTCTCCTTCCTCTTTCCTCTCCTTTTCCTCCTCCTCCTCCTCCTCCTTCTCTTCCTCCTCCTCCTTAAAATTAAGACTAAACTAATCCAAGAGAGAAGCAACCTAGAACTAAGCAGAAATTTCCTGACAGGGAGAACAATTAACCCATGGAACAGCTTGTCTTGGAGGTGCTCCATCACTGGGCTCAATTGTGTCGTAAATTGAGGACAACCTGTGCAAACGTTCAGAATTCCATACTTGGGAGGTCTGCAAAAGTTAACACAAAAGAGGAGCTGGCTATTGAAGTTAAATTGTCATTTTTGGTACCACTGTGGTTGGAAGCCTAAGTCAATGGTACCTGTGCAAATCACAATTTCCTCTCTGAGTGAATAAAAGGCAGATCTCCCTAAACAGAAAGAATTTACTGGAGAGAAGAAACTAATGAAAATACACTGGGGAAAAAAAACAGTCCAGTAAACTTCACAGCAGTCAAAATCCAGATAAAATCCATAACATGTATCTGATGAAATCAATGACTTATTCCCTGCTTAATGGCCCTAAACCATGTTTACAACTCACTTGCAAAAAAATATTAGTTAAAGGCAGCTCATCTATAATGGATTAATGCATCCGAAAATTCTTTTTAGTAGGCGAGAAAAATGAATTGAGCATCAACCTGTAACTCTCAAAATCATACAATACCCTGCACGATTTGGGGAGGGGAGGAATTAATCAATTAGTCAAGCTATTCTTCAAAGCACCTGAGGGCAGGACAAGAAGCAACAGGTGGAAACTAATCAAGGAGAGAAGCAATTTAGAACTAAGGAGAAATTTCCTGACAGTGAGAACAATTAACCAACAGTGGAACAACTTGCCTCCAGAAGTTGTAAATGCTCCAACAATGGAAGTTTTTAAGATGATGTTGGATAACCATTTGTCTGAAGTGGTGTAGGGTTTCCTGCCTGGGCAGAGGGTTGGACTAGATGACCTCCAAGGTCCCTTCCAACTCTGTTATTCTATTCTATTCTATTCTATTCTATTCTATTCTATTCTATTCTATATTTTATCTGTATCTATTGTTATTTTTGTTGGTAATACACTTTTAAAAATATAATATGGCTTTTATTATTCTAATCCCTGAACAATAACTTAACATTCCTATTTATTTTTTAGGACTACAGTTAGTCCTTGATTTACAACAGTTCATTTAGTAGCTGTTCGAAGTTGCAACGGCAGAGAAAAAAAATAACTTATGGCTGTTTTTAATAGTTACCATCTCTGCAGCATCCCCCAGGGTCACGTGATCAAAATACAAACACTTAGCATGTGATTCATATTTATGACGGTTGCAGTGTCCCGGGGTCACGTGATTCCCTTTTGCAACCATCCGACAAGCAAAGTCAAGGGGGATTCACTTAACAACCTTGTTACTAACTTAACAACTGCAGTGATTCCCTTAACAAAAGTGGCGAGAAAAGTCGTAAAATGGGGCAAAACTCACTTAACAAATTTATCACTTTTTTTTTTTAATTTGATTTATATGCCGCCCTTCTCCGGAGACTCAGGGCGGCTTACAATGTGCTAAGCAATAGCCTTCATCCTTTTTTTTGTATATTTATACAAAGTCAGCTTATTGCCCCCACAACTGGGTCCTCAATTTACCTACCTTAGAAAGGATGGAAGGCTGAGTCAACCTTGAGCCTGGCGAGATTCGAACCTGCAGTAATTGCAGGCAGCTGTTCTTAATAACAGGGTGCTTAAGACCACTGTACTACCAAGGCTCTAATCACTCTAATACCAATCACTTTGCAACGCACGTTTCGGGGCTCAATTGTGATTGTAAATTGAGGACTACTTGTATTGCTCTTATAAATGCTGATTTATTATTTTTATTCTAATCCCTGAACAAGACCTTAATACTCAAATTAATTTTTTTAGGACTACTTGCAAATAAAATAATAATAAATAAAATATTTCTAACGCTCTATAAATAA